CCCACGACCTATTCCAATCCCACTGCCCGCTCCATTCCAGTTTCACGCTGCCCCTCATTTCTGGCTCCTACTTTTCCCCAGCTAATCTCCCCACACCCAGTCTCACAGCCTTTGTCTAGAGCCCAACCCCCAAGGGCTGGGGGAGCAACTACAACTAGCTCAGACAGCACAATCAACGAGTGATTAACAGGTAGGGGAAGATGTAAGGCTTCCTTCCCGGAAGCTCTTCTAAGACAAAGATCTCCTGCTAGGAGATCTGGTCAAGGGCAGAAGTTCATCTAAGCACATACTTTTCCTTTCCTTAGTCCATAAACAATCATCTTACATTGACTTGTTAATCATCTTTCTAGTCATTTTGCATGGACACAGTAAGAGATATATTAATAGGGTAGCTCTCCTGGGGACATCTCGCTATCGATCCCAGACTACAGTTCTCAGGCCAGATTAGTCCTTCCTAACCCTAGTAGGGTTCTTGTCCAATCACTTTTCTCTGGGTCATGACAGAATTTGTCCACGACCGTGCTCTTAAACTCTAAGTTTTATGGCACTTGGCCTGTCCCACTTCAATGCCAGGGTCGCTTACAGCTTGCCTGGGGTCCATCCATCCGGTCCCTTCATCAGGACTCTGTTTTGGGGGTAGTAGGAACTAGGGGCAACTGAGGCTTAAGTTGAGTAAATATGACAGATACCCAAGAGCAAATATCGTTCAGAGTCAATGAACTCCCAAGTTACCAAAGCATAGCATTAACTGCCTTCCTGTGACTATACAAAAAGGACATTGCTCTAAAGTGAACTAGGCAAAGGACATAAGAGAAAAAGCAATCTTTCACTTACAGATACAAAATGCAGAGTCCTGAGAAGGCTCCAACCTTACAAGTCACAGTTTCTGGTTAGGGGACACGAGTGCTTAACAGGGGAAGCAGAGCACAGAGAAGTTAAAGATGAATACGGAGGAAATGGGAGTGCTTCGGAGTGCTTCGTGATGGATATAACCCACTAAACCTAAGCTCCTTGCGTCAGAGGAGAAAGAACAGACAGATGTTATCCTACAGTGGGTGCGTGCTGGGTTACTTTTGCTCTTCAAGTGCTGTGCCTTCTCCTTCCGGGGAGCCCTGGAAGCCCCAACTTTCCTTCTGTCCCACGTAAAACCCCCTTCCAAAGCCCTCCCCAGCCACAAGTGCTGCATTCTCACATGCCATTCCTTCTCCCCTTCTCAGTGGTTTCTGCCTCTCCTCTGCTCTGGCTTCCTGTGTCATAGGTTTGAGTTTTGTCCTGAGTCAGAGGTTGCCAGATTTATTTGGCCAATACCACTCTTTTCAGGGGGAAAAAAAAAAAGACAGGGCAGGATTCAGCCTCCCCACCTCCAGCCTCCCATTAAACACGCTCTGAAAGAATCTACTTTTATTTTTTTCTTGGTTTGAGGGCCACACCCAGTGGTGCTAGGGACCATCCTAGAGTCTGTGCTCAGGTCCTGGAGGTGTGGAATTCAAATGAGGGTTGCCACTACAGCCCTGTGCTAGCTCAGCTAAACTAACCTTAACCTTCAAACTATCTCTCCGGCCCTTGGTCCTCAAAATATACCTTTTTAGGGGCTGGAGCGATGGCACAGCAGATAGGGCGTTTGCCTTGCACACGGTTGACCCAGGTTCGATTCCCAGCATCCCATATGGTCTCCTGAGCACCGCCAGGAGTAACTCCTGAGTGCATAAGCCAGGAGTAACCCCTGTGCATTGCCGGGTGTGACCCAAAAGCAAAAAAAGAAAAAATAAAAACTTTTTGGGCTGGAGCGATAGCACAGTGGTAGGGCGTTTGCCTTGCACGCAGCCAGCTCGGCCAAGCTGGGTTCGACTCCTCCACCCCTCACGGAGAGCCCAGCAAGCTACAGAGAGGATCTCGCCCGGACGGCAAAGCCTGGCAAGCTACCCATGACGTATTCATAATGTAAGGGCCGTCCGGGCTAATAGTCATGAAAGAGTTAAGTGGTAGGAAAGAGTTAACCAGAAAACTGTAAAAGCTGTGAAAGCTAGAGTTGCAAAAACTGACTCAAAAGAGTTATAAAGTAGCTCCCACCTTCCCCCTGCTATGACCTTGTGTTTGGGCCAGATATGGGGACATGTGCTCAGATGTTTCGAAGAATTTAATCTTGTGCAAGTGTCCTGCTGTTTTTGGTGAAGCCGCAGATTGCTGTACTGTAAGATTCCTTTGTTTATTCTTGGTTATAAAAACCCACTGTACTTCGGTTTGGGGCTCTCTGCCTCTGTCCTGTTTTCGGGACATGTAGTGAGCCCCAGCATGCTTGGACAATAAACCCTGTGCGTGTTGCATGAGAAAGTCTCTTGGAGTCTCCTTCACGGGCGGCGAGCGTCTTGACCCTAACAATAATGGAACTATAACAGAAAAAGTATAACTCTTAAACCTTGGTTGAATTGTAATAAAATTATTTAAAAAATATATATATATATACCTTTTTTTCAGCAAACAAACAAAAATGCACCAAATTCACCCAAGGCTACTGTGTCTCCCTCCCACCATCTCATTGTTCTGTGTGTGTGTGTGTGTGTGTGTGTGTGTGTGTCCCCATCCTAAAACACTATCTTTGAGAGTAACCTGGAAGATATGTAAAGTAAAGGCCCTCCCGTTGGTCATCGATTTGCTCGAGCGGGCCCAGTAACGTCTCCATTGGAGACTTTGTTGTTACTGTGTCTGGCATATCCAATACGTCACGGGTGGCTTGCCAGGCTCTGCCGTGCGGGCGAGATCCTCTCGGTAGCTTGCCGGGCTCTCCCAGAGGGGCGGAGGAATCGAACTCGGGTCGGCCACGTTGGCTGCGTGCAAGGCATAACACCCTACCGCTGTGCTATCACTCCAGCAATATGAGGGAGACAAAATTGAGGACGAATGGGGAGAAGGGGAACGAGCTTCCTTCCAGCGTGGGGAAGAAACACTGTAAGTTTAAGGGCCTGACAGCCTGAGAAGGAAAGCTCTGGGAATCTGTCTTCAAGGGCAACGGCTTGGCCGCTTGTATTTCATGCCACAGCCAACCCGGCCGAGCCGGGTTCGATTCCTCCGCCCCTCTCGGAGAGCCCGGCAAGCTACCGAAGAGTATCTCGCCCGCACGGCAGAGCCTGGCAAGCTCCCTTTGACATATTCAATATGCCAAACACAGTAACAACAAGTCTCAAAATGGAGCCGTTACTGGGCCTGCTTGAGCAAATCGATGAACAATGGGAGGACAATCTTCTAACACAGGCAGAAGCCAACTTTCCTCCTGGGTTGCTTTCTTCAAGAGCCAGTCTAAGAGGGCCCCCTGGTGTCTAAAACAATTAAACTCCCAAAGGCAACCGTGGCAAATCACTTCAGATCTACCACTCACAGCAGGTTCTTGATTCATGCAGCACTGCAAAGAGTGGCAAACCAGAATGGCGGCATAAAGCAGCCCATCTTTGTTAAAGCCTATGCACCTCGATAACACAGAACCCTGGGGACAATGAAGTCAGTGTACTGCTCCCAAGTGTCAATTTGCTCCCAACTGGGTACTAAATGCTTCTACTCCTACAGTTTAGTCCAAAAGACAATCCTCGTTCCTGCAAATCCTCATTATCTGCAAGTTCAGGGGAACTTCACTCCACCCCCACAACGATTCAACAAAAGAACTCAAAAAAATCTACTAAAGCTGTTGTACTCACAGCTATGGTTTAGTTTAGCTACAAGCCTAAGGAAGAGGCACGTAGGGTGGAACCCAGGATGACCACAAACATGGAGCTTCCAGATGTCTTCCTACAGAGCCAGCTGTGGCCAACGTAATTTCCTCCCTGCAATCACGTGTGGGCAAGGGACACCGTCAACTGGGAAAGTCTGGAGAGTTCCCTGCAGCCCTGAGGCGTGGCTTCCTGGCCCCTGCAAGTTGGAGCTGGAATCCGGGACCCTAAGCCCCTATCGTACCTGCTCTGAGCTGGTTCCCCCCTAAAACAGTCAACATCAGATAGCCCCAGGCCCTCAGGCAAACAAAAACGCTCATCTCAGGGCAGACCTCCCAACAGTTTAGAGATTCACTCTTAGAAGCTAAGACCAGACCCAGCTCAGGGCCTGGTGGGCCTCTACTGTGCCTCTCCCGAATTCTGTCCTCTCCTCCACTCTCATGTCAGGGTTCCATCCTCCCTGTCCGAAGCAGAGGCCCAGACTGTCTCATTGCATTTTGGGTTTGGCCACTACTGCCCTGTCCCCTAACTGCTGCTCTCCCAGAAGTCCCAAACGTCCGAATGGCGACAGAATCACATGGGAAAATGTGAAGATGAAACGCTGCCTGCCCTTGCTGCCGTGCTGTTCGTCTGCCCTGACCTTACTCTGGTAAAACACCTTCATGCTTTCCAAGGACTAAGACCCACATTCACCATCCCTTGACCATCTCCTCACCATCTCTCTGCTTGGTTCTGCAGAGTGGAACACGAGATCCTTCCCACAGGAATGAGGTCTCCGGGCCAGTCATCAAAACCAGGCCCTGCTTTGGTTATTACCAGTCTAAGTGTAGCAGAGTCACCCCAGGCAACAAGACTTCTTGTTCCAAAATGACTTCTCTTGTTTGCATGTCTGCCTCCCTGACAGTGCTGTGGATTTTTCTAGACTAGGGCTCTGTTTTAAGGCTTGCCTCCTGGACCTCTGGTTAATGAGATGTAAATCAATGCAGGCAAAGCAGTAGGGATGAGTGATCCTTTTAGCTCTGAAATGCAAAACAATTAGAAGCCTATGAATAACCACTTGGGTATATTTATGCATTCCTCTATGTGCACAAATATAATATAACTGGAAGAATATATAGATGAGAACTATGTTTGTTCTCTAGGGAGCAAAAGACTATGTATCTGGGCATCTGGGGGACAGAGCTGAAAAGAACACACCCAACCTTATAATTCCTTAGACAATGTTGAATTCTAAACCAGGTGAACATGTTATATCTTTCGAATAATTTATAAACTCTAGCAACAGGACAGTTATTTGTAAATTGTTTTATTTTTTGCTGATACTGACGTCATTCATGACTATCATAGATTGAGAACCATTGATAAAAGAGTGAGTCACTAGACATTTTGTTGCTATCAGACACCAAAGATGAGGGTTTTGATAAAAAGAGGCATCAAATAATAAGCTTGGCAAGAACATGAGGTCCTGCCCATTCTAATCAGCGAGAATGAGTAATCACATCGAAAGGTCAATGTCTCCAAAAAAGTTTACGGAAAAACCTTCCAGAAAATCGCTGGACTTCCCCCTACCCCCTCACACACACACACATACACACACAAATGTCAATGTTTCTAAAAGAGATTTTCTTGAAATGCAAGACCCAGCTTAAGGACGAGTATACTTAGCACCATAACAGAGCTGGGGTCACAGCAACTTGGCATCAAAGAAGAGAGTGTGGCGGACAGAGAAGTCTGCAGGAACCAGCTCTCACTCACAGATGAATACACGTTTTTTATGGCATAAAGATGTTGTAGACGGTTCTCACGTAGATGTCATCAGGAGGGGGCTTCTTCTTGCTACCGGGTTCGAGAAATTTCTTAATGGTGGGCACATTACTTATTTTCACTGAGAACTCCTGAAAAAGAACACAAATGTTGAAGGTGAACAGCCACTACTTACAATAGCAATACGGTGGTGTATAGTGGCCCAACAACATTTGATAAATATTTGTTGCAGCTGGGACCAGAGCGAGAGTACAGCAGATAGAGCACTTGCCTTGCACACTGACAACTCGGGTTCGATCCCCAGCATCCCATATGGTCCCCCGAGCACCACCAGGAGGAATTCCTAATGGCAGAGCCAGCAGTAACTCCTAAGCATTGCCAGGTATGCCCTCCCCCACTCCCCTCATTAAAAAAAATTAAGAATAATAAATATTTGTTGCAGGGATCCAAACCAGAACTGGAATCCAGCATCTCAACCTGAATATCTTGGCTGATTATATACAGACAGTAGTTTTGTTTTTTTCTCAAGAATTTTGACATTTTTTAATGTAAGAGGCTTATTAAACATAAGAATGCATACCAAACTTATGTAATTAATAATCCAAGATGATAAAATCACATTTCATTTCTACTACATTACATATGTATGTGTGTGTAGTCCTTCTTGAATTCATATAGACAGTAGTTTTATTTTATCTATTTTTTTGCATTTTGGGTCACACCCAGAGACACACAGGGGTTCCTCCTGGCTCTGCACTCAGGAATCATACCTGGCGGTGCTCGGGGGACCATATGGGATGCTGGGAATCGAACCCGGGCCGGGCGCGTGCAAGGCAAACGCCCTACCCGCAGTGCTATCGCTCCAGCCCCTAGACAGTAGTTTTAGATCAATCTTGCTGCAAATATGCCCCCAAAATGGGTCTTCTTACAGAGGGCAAAATAAAGAAAATTAGACTAGGATTATTATACTTAAGGAAAGAAAAATAATTATGGGAAGTACCTAAAATATATTGATCTACTCAGAGAAAATGCAGAAGTCGTTTATAAAAAAGAGTTTTATAAAGTCATCAGATGGTGCAACTTATATTTCAGGGTTCAGTTTCTTTGGACTTTTCAACTCACTAGCAATCTTTTGGCTGTGTAGAAAATGGCCAGTCACATTTTTTTGTAGTCTAAAACTCATATACAAGAAATTAATGGGAGAAAAAAATATTTCTCCATTCACAGGGATAAATCTCACCCATTCTCAGAAATTTATAAGTTCATTTGATCTAGTGAAAATTCTAAAATATATCAAGGGCATATCTGCATATTTAACTATTTTAAGTCTCCAATGGAGATGTTACTGGGCCCGCTCGAGCAAATCGATGAACAACGGGAGGACAGTGACAGTGACAACTATTTTAATAAAACTTTCAAAGCCAACACACCTTTACTTAAAATGCTACCATTTATTGTCAAATGAGTACAATTGACTGTCTTAAGCTTACAAACACATATAAACATATGTCACTCATATTCATAAAAACTAATAATTATATCAATTAATTATCCATAAATGTGGGTTTATTACTTATTTTAACTATCTATAAGATCACATTTTAAATATCACACCAATGTTTAGAAGCTTGTTTCATAGGATTTATCATTCCAGGATTATTAACCTATGGTTCACAATTACCATGTGTAAAACAACTTTAAATACTTCTTTTTCAAACCCTTTCAATCATCTCATAGATGGTATTAGAGTCAAAAGTCTTTTAACACTGATGCTCCAGCTAATCAGCGATTAATTACACTTGCATGCCTGGTTTTAAGAACAAGTTGTTAGCATCAAAAGTGGAAAATATTAGTAGGTCCCTGGGCTATTTAAGAGGCTTATCGGCATTATTATTATTATTATTATTATTATTATTATTTGGGGGTGGAGTACTTAGAGCTACACCTGGCTGTCCTCGGGGGTTACTCTTGACTCTGCACTCAAGAATTACTCCTGGCGATGCTCAGGAGACCATATGGGATGCTGGGGATCAAAGCTGGGTTGGCTGCGTGCAAGGAAAGCTCCCTACCTACTGTACTATCTCTCTGACCTGACCTAGTGGCATTAAAATTAAATCAAAGAGGGGCTGGAGCGATAGCACAGGGGGTAGGGTGTTTGCCTGGCACGCGGCCAACCCGGGTTTGATTCCCAGCACCCCATATGGTCCCCTGAGCACCGCCAGGAGTAACTCCTGAGTGTGGAGCCAGGAGTAACCCCTGTGCATTGCTGGGTGTGACCCAAAAAGCAAAAAAAAAAAAAAAGTAAATCAAAGAATGTCAGTTTCTGTATATTCAAGAATAGATAAATAATAAAGATTTTTAAAAAATTATTATTATTTTTTGGAGAGCCCGGCAAGCTACCGAGAGTATCTCGCCCGCACGGCAGAGCCTGGCAAGCTCCCGGTGACGTAATCGATGTGCCAAACACAGTAACACAAGTCTCACGATGGAGATGTTACTGGGCCCGCTTGAGCAAATCGATGAACAACAGGAGGACCGTGACCCTTTTATTATTATTTCTATTCTCATTCTGAGTCCATGCATTTAACTAGTGATTGTCTCTGTCGATATAGCAAAATGATATCATAGGGGGGAAAATTCTCCTAAAACTTTGTTACTCTGGGCTGGAGTAACAAAGTGCAGAGGTTGAGGTGAAGGCACTTGCCTTGCACATGGCCGATGTGGATTCCATCCCCTGCACCCACCACCTCAGGAGTCATCCCTGAGTGCAGAGTCAAGAGTAGGCTCTGAACACTTCAAGGTATGCAAGTAAAGTAAAGGCCCTCCCGTTGATCGTCGATTTGCTCGAGCGGGCCCAGTAACGTCTCCATTGGAGACTTTGTTGTTACTGTGTCTGGCATATCGAATACTCTCGGTAGCTTGCCGGGCTCTCCGAGAGGGGCGGAGGAATCGAACTCGGGTCGGCCATCTTGGCCGCGTGTAAGGCGAACGCCCTACCCGCTGTGCTATCGCTCCCCCCCCGCCAATGTTGTTACTCTTTGGAAATTAAATGTATGTGGAAATTAAATGTATGTGTCTTTATTTATGTTTTTTATCAGAGATGTATAAATATGGGTCTATATTGGGAATAGCAAGATTTTTTCTAAAAAATTACAGAACAGGGCTGGAGCGATAGCACAGCGGGTAGGGCGTTTGCCTTGCACGCAGCCAACATGGCCAACACAGGTTCGATTCCCAGCATCCCATATGGTCCCCCGAGCACCGCCAGGAGCAACTCCTGAGTGCATGAGCCAGGAGTAACCCCTGAGCATCGCCGGGTGTGAACCAAAAAGCAAAAAAAAATAAAATTACAGAACATTTATGGAAATATTTCAGGCCTTGAGCCTCTCTCTCTCTCTCTCTCTCTCTCTCTCTCTGAAAACTCGGGCTCCTCACTGCACAGAAGTAGTTGCAAACATCACACAAGGGAATGAGCGTGGCTTTGAGCCAATGAAACTTATATATGGAGGCTGAAATGTAAGCTTCATGGAACTTCATGTGTCTTAAAGTGCCACTGTTCTTTTGACATTTTTCCAAACACTTAAAAATGAAGTAACCATTCTTGGCTTGAGGATTGTACAAAAATAGCTGCAGGACCACAAAGAGGCCAAAGGGGTTCTGGTTTCCCAACCTCCCAAGCACAGCAGCAAGCCTGAGATGGAAGGAAAAGATTCCACACAGAACCCACTCAAGAGAGTCGCTTTGGCTCAGACTTCGCCGCCTGTGTCTTTACTTCCTCCTACATGAACTGAAGTCCTTGGACAAGATTCGTTTTTTAAAGACCTTTTCGTCTTCAATATTCTAATTCCAGGGGACAAGTACATAGTTCAATGGTACAGTATATACTTTGCGTGTTTGAAGTCTTGGTTTCAATCCCTGAGACTCACTCTACTCAAAAAAAAAAAAAATCTAGGATCATCCAGGTGGTCCCAGAGGCCTCCAGAACATCTGGGCCAGAATAATGAACCATCTGATTGGCCAAAGATTTCCAGGAGTGGCCCCTGGGCCCCAGGAACATTGCTTGAGAGCCCCCCTGACCCCCACTCATGAAAAAGGAGATAAAATTCTAGGATCAATTCTGCCAGAAGTATTACTCAGGAGTGAGTTGTAAGTATTAATTAAAAATATAAACCAATTATAAGTCTAAATATGAGTATTATCGCTAACACCCAGGAATGCGATAAGTCATCCTTGGCATCTATGGGAGAATGCTGGGCAGTCTTTGAGATGCTATTTAGGTCATCTGTCTTCTCTTGGAATTCAAGCCTGGATATTTCTGATCCGAGACAATTTTACTTCTGAGACCAGGAGTCGTACCTTAATAGCAACACTATTTTTGACGTTGACCTTCAAGTGCTTAGGTCAACATATATGGCGCAGAGAGACGGCCAGACCTTTTGTCCCTGTAATTACTCATATGGCGAGTCTCTTTGGAAAACTGAGTATGTCCTTTGTTCCAAGAACACAGTTAAGGAAAAAAAGATAATTCACATGTTACATTTCCTAACATGTGAATTATCTTTTCGGTTATAATGATCTGAGGACAAGGAAGACAATTTCAAATTTGTCCCTTTGTAGTTAGAAAGATAGTACAGCAGGTAGGGCACATCCAACCTATGTTCGAACCACAGCACTATACATGGTCCCCTGGGCCCACTATCAGTGGTCTCTGAGCAGAGTCAGTGAACCCTGAGCACAGCTGGGTGTGATAGCCCCCTCCCCAAAATTGTACCTTTATCTCATTCTAATAACCAGAATGTAAAAAAAAATAACCCAACCAATTATAGAACAAGGTAATTAGAGAGGAGGTTCCTTGTTTTGCTCCCAAGATGTCATATATGACAAACCCAGAGCCAATATTATACTAAATGATTAAAAAAATCGAGTTTTTCCTCTAAGATCAGGAACAAGACAAAGATTTCTAACTAGTGGTTAGAAATACATTATTCACTATTCAATACAGTGTATAGTGTATAATACACTATTCAATACAACAGAAGTGCTAGCACGAGCAATTAGGCAAGAGAACATAGAAGGTATCCAAATTAAAAAGGAAGAAGTAAAACTAAAACTAGTTGCATATAATATAATTTAGATAGAAAATCCAGAAGACTCCAGTGAAAATGCATCAGACATATTAAACACAAAAAGCTATCAGATATCGAGTAAAAGCAAGTTTCAAAATTAATTTCCCCAAATATATTGTGTTTGTATACACAAATAATGAGCTAGCAGAAGGAGAAATTAAGAAAATGGTTCCACTTACGATTGCACCAGAAATAATTAAACACCTTGGAATGAATTTAACCAAAGTGGCCAAAGTCTCATACAATAAAATATTGTTTGGGGCAACAGAAGAGAACTCAGAGAGATGGAAAGAGATTCTTTGTTCAGAATCAGATGAGAAAAAGGAACACAGTTAACGTGATTATATTACTGAGAGTAATAATAGATTCTATGTGACCCCTATCAAAATCACAAAGGCATGCCTCACAGAAATATGATTTAAATTTAAAGGGATATACTTGATAACCTTTCAGTATCTGTATTTCAAACCATAATGTCCCAAATGGAAGAGAGAGAGAGAGAGAGAGAGAGAGAGAGAGAGAGAGAGAGAGAGAGAGAGAAAATGCCTGCTGTAGAGGTATCAGGGTCAGGGAGGGAAACAGGGCACATTGGTAGTGGGAAATGTACACTGGTGAAGGGATGGGTGTTGGATCGTGATGTGACTGAAATCCACTCATGAACAATTTTGTAACTACATATCTCACTGTAATTCAATTTAAAAATAATTTTTAAAAAATGATTTAAAAATTGGGGCTGGAGCGATAGCACAGCGGTAGGGCGTTTGCCTTGCACGCGGCCAGCCGGCTGAGCCAGGTTCGATTCCTCCGCCCCTCTTGGAGAGCCCGGCAAGCTACCGAGAGTATCTCGCCCGCACGGCAGAGCCTGGCAAGCTCCCCGTGACGTATTCGATATGCCAAACACAGTAACAACAAGTCTCATGATGGAGACGTTACTGGGCCCGCTTGAGCAAATCGATGAACAACGGGAGGACCGTGACCGTGATTTAAAAATTATAAAAGGTATATGAAAAATTTGCATGAAAATATAAAAAACCACCCAGTAACAAAACCACTTGATAAAAAAAAAAAGAACAAAAATGGAGGGATCATTCTCCATTCCCTGAATCTGTACAAAACAATGACAGTCATTAAAACATCATGGTAGTGAAACAAAAACACACAAACAGATCAAGGGAACAGTAATGAGAGCCCAGAAATTAAACCACACATATTACAGACAACAACTGTACAATGAAAGAACAAGTAGTCCATTTTTAATAAAGAGTGCTGAGAAAACTAGACAGCCACAAGCAAAAGAACGAAACCATGTAATTCCAGAGACAAAAGCTAATTAAAAATGGATTAAATGGACTTGGATGTAAGACCCAACACCAGATAATGCACTCAGGAAAATATGTATGACAAGCTCTCAGACATCAGCCTTTCAGCTATTTGGGGGGACTCAATTCTAACAACAAAGGAAACAAAAACAAAACTAAATAGATGGGACTTCGTACTGCAAACCAAAAAGCTTCTGCACAGTGCAAGAAATTGGCATCAAGATGAAAATATATTCTACGGAATGGGAGAGGGCATGTATACGCATAGAATAAAAGGTCAATATCTAAAATATACAAACGCTGGGAACACTGGGAGGGAAGCTGACATTGGTATTGAAACACTGTGTGCTTTAAACTCAGCTATGAATAAAAATCACGATGCCATAATTTAAAATATATAAGGAGCAATAGCACAGTGGTAAGGCTTCTGCCTTGCAAGTGGCCGTCCCGGCTGAGCTGGGTTCGATTCTTCCGCCCCTCTTGGAGAGCCCAGCAAGCTACCGAGAGTATCTCGCTCTCACGGCAAAGCCTGGCAAGCTACCCATGATGTATTCAGTATGCCAAACACAGTAACAACAAGTCTCAAAATGGAGACGTTACTGGGCCCGCTTGAGGATATATATATATATATATATATATATATATATATATATATATGGGGCTGGACCAATAGTACAGCGGGAAGGGTGTTTGCCTTGCACGCTGCCGACCGGGTTTGATTCCCAGCATCACATATGGTCCCCCAAGGTCCACCAGGGGTGATTCCTGAGTGCATGAGCTGGGACTAACCTCTGTGTATCGCCGAGTGTGACCCAAAAAAATTAAAAAAATAATAATAATGTTTGTGTAGAGAACTTATAAAACTTAACAATACTAAATGGGCAGAGGATATAAATGAAGCATCATTTAAAGGAGATATGGATGGCCAGATGCACAGGACGATACTGGCTAAGATGGAAATTCAAATCAAAATGACCAGAGGGACAGAGAGGCAGATAGGGTGCTTGCCTTGCACGTGGTTGACCCAAGTTCCATTCCCGGCATCCAATATGATCACCTGAGCCCAGCAGGAGTGATCCCCAAGCCAGAGCCAGGAACAAGCACTGAGCACAACCGGTGTGGCCCAAAAACCAACACCCAAACAAAACAAAACAATGAGATATCCCTTCACACCCATGACCAGGGCTATGACCCCAAGGCAAGAAACACTCAGTGTTAGAAAGGAAGTGGCCAAAAGGGGAACCTACCCCCGCTGTTGGTGGGACTATAAACCAGAGCAGCCTTTATAGAAAGCAGTACGCAAAGTCGTCAAAACATAAAACATGGAATTTCCGTACAATCCAGGCATTTATCCAAGAAACAACAAACAAGGATGCTAAGAGATATTTAAAACTGTCGCATTATTAACAACAGCCAGGAACTGAAAACCACCTAAGGGCCTATGAATGGGTATAGAAGATTTGATATATACCCACAAGGGAATAATAAAAAATTCAGTTTTGGGGGGCTGGATCCATAGCACAGCGGGTAGGGCGTTTGCCTTGCATGCAGCCATGACCCACACAGGTTCGCTTCCCAGCACCCCATATGGTCCCCTGAGCACCGCCAGGAGCAATTCCTGAGTGCATGAGCCAGGAGTAACCCCTGAGCATTGCCAGGTGTGACCCAAAAAGCAAAAAAAAAAAAAAAAAAAAAAAAAAAAATTCAGTTTTTTTTTAAGATGGAGAAAAAGACTGAATGTTTTCACTCATGTAGAACAGATGAGTTAAATATAACAAAAAAATGAACACTTGAATTCTCATAAGACAAAATAATGGTAATGAGAAGGAAGAGAGAAGGAGAGTGGAAAAATTAAAACAAACAGGGCAAGTATATACTGAAGAATAGCACTGTCCTCCTATTGTTCATCGATTTGCTCGAGCGGGCCCCAGTAATGTCTCCATCGTGAGACTCGTTGTACTGTGTTTGGCATATCGAATATGTCACGGGTAGCTTGCCAAGCTTTGCCGTGCGGGCAAGATACTCTTGGTAGCTTGCCGGGCTCTCCAAGAGGGGCGGAGGAATCGAACCTGGCTTGGCCGGGCCAGCTGCATGCACGGCAAATGCCCTACCGCTGTGCTATCGCTCCAGCCCTATGCTGAAGAATAAAACTAAATAAAATAAAATTGGAGCAATTAATGTACTATACATGAGCATGTTGGTTTGCAGAGATGCACATCTGAAATTTATACGTGAATCAATGGGTATATCAATTCACTTCAAGCAAAAGTAATAAAAAGAAATCACACGCACGCACACGTAGCCACATACATCAATCAACAGACATTGACAGAAGACCTAAGAGTCTCGGACCAATCTTCTAATAGGTGGTTTCGTTTACCTGGAGATGAGGAAATGCCGACAGGATGTTCGGAATTTTCTCTTCTAGAGCCAAAATGGTTTGGAGCAGAATCACATCTGCGAGGCTCAGCTGATTGCCAACGAGAAATCTTTGTCCGTGCTCTCGTAACACCTGCACAATATAAATGTTTTTCTTACACAGCTTATAATACTCGATGTGGAGAATCTAACAAAGCCACTAAATCACTGCAGCGTCTGAGAAGGGGATGAAATGCTGGTCTTGTTCTTTCATCCCTCGTAAAAATCACATCAGCTCATATATTATTTCCTATGGTGGAGAAGTAGGAGTCGAAATAAAAAAATAAAAGCATTGTCAAAGAGCAGCTTTTACCACAATACACCTAGTAAGGGAGAAAAAAACATTAACTCTGAATTTAGTGTCTCATGTCTTAAAAAGATATCTCTTCTACAATAGTACCTACAGGAATGCAAGAACCCTAATAAGGCCAAAGTGGGTGTTTGTCTTGGACGTGGCCAACCTGGGTTTGATCCCTGGCATCCCATATGGTCCCCCAAGCACTACTAGAGTAATTCCTGAGTTCAGAGCCAGAAGCAACCCCTGAACATTGCGGGGCGTGACCTCCCCAAAAAACCCCTAATAAATTCAGGTGATTGGGAGAAGTGATAATTCTCTCGATGGACTCCAATTTCATTCGACAGTTGTGCGTTTTGGCTGGAGCGATAGTACAGCAGGCAGGGCATTTGTTTGTCTTGCACAACGCTGACCTGGGTTCGATCCCGGCATCCCATATATCCCCTCGAGCACTGCCAGAAGTAACTCCTGAGTGCAGAGCTGGGAGGAACCCCTTAGCATCGCAGGGTGTGACCCAAAAGGGGGGAAAAAAAACAAAAAAAACCCACAAAAAACAATTATGCATTTCTAAGAACAGAACCCATAAATGAGAAATGAGTATGAAAAAAAAATGTAGAATGAAAAAGTAAACTTTTCAAAACACCCAATAAGAGAGAGAGAACAAAAGGGAATGCCCTGCCACGGAGGCAGGGTGGGATGGGGGGATGGGGGGTGGGAGGGATACTGGGATCCGTGGTGGTGGAAAATGGGCACTGGTGGGGGGATGGGTACTTGATCATTGTATAATTGAAACCCAAGCAAAAAAATGTGTAAGTCTGCAACTGTACCTCATGATGTCTCACTATTAAAAAAATTTTTAATAAAATAAAAAAAAAAGAAAAAGAAAAAGTAAACTTTTGGAGAATCCTGCTTAGAAGACACTCCCACCCCCACCCCCATCCCCTGTCATACTGAAGGAGGCTTCTGACATCAGAGAAGGAAGGCAGACAGACCTCCTCTCACATCTTCCAAGACAGAAACCTAAAAGCATGAGAGTTCATCTTTGCTTTGAAAGGAATACTTTGGTGCAGAGACTCGTTGAACTAAATGTGGATCACAAGAGACAAGGGACCCAAGGTAAAGGTGAGAAGATTCTCTACAGAGAATTCTGGGAAGCCCACAGGTGTAAGGTGTGCTGTGTGTTTGCCTGGTAGGGTTTCTGCTTATGAAAAAAATTCAGGGGCTGGAGCAATAGCACAGTAGGTAGGGTATTAGTTTGCCTTGTACGTGGCCAACCCAGGTTCAATTCCAGGCATCCCCAAGCACTGCCAGCATAATCCCTGAGTGCGAAGCCAGGAGTAACCCCTGAGCATCACTGGGTGTCTCCCAAAAGGGCAAAAAAAAAAAATTCAAATATAGCTCCTGGAGCCAGCATGGGGAAGAACAGTGAATTTCAGATTCCCTGTCAGAGGCCACAGTTCCAATTCCAGCCACGGGCATGTCGCTTGGTCTCTGTGAGACTATTCAATTATGTGTACAAGAGGAGTGAGTGCTTTCAGCCCATGAGTTACAAGTAACACATATAAACATTCCTGCCTCAGGACACCTGTTCCTCCCTGTCATATCACATGGCTGCATAGCGGACATTCACAGAATGCCTGTCAGCAAATGTTCTGAAACCAAGGGACAGAAAAGCCTAAGAGCAGTCCTCTCCTGAAAGTCTAAATCCCTGGTGGAGGGATGGGTGTTTGATCATCGTATGACTGAAACTCAAACATGAAAGTTTTATTTAACTGCAGCTCACAGTGATTCAATTAAAAATTTAAATACACATAAATAAAAGTCGAAAAAAAAAAATCTAAATCCATGATGGTGGCAAGAGGAGTTGGCTGGCATATTTGTACATTCTCGTCTGATTTTTAGTGGAAACATTTCTTTGAATCCTCTTAGGTCAGGAAAGGAGGAATTTGACATCCAAAAACAAAAAAAAAGCACAGGTAGTAAGAAGAGAAGGATAAGAAAAGAGTCAAACTATCAACAAGACCATCGGATATATATAAGCAGAACAAATGCCAGTGGAGTGAATGAGTGAGGGTATTTCTGCTCTAATATCTCACAGGGAGAGGCCACCAGGAGAATGCAGGGAGCTATCAGGCATGGGGTGAGTTTTCCTGCCTCCTAGAGAACGCGGCTCTGCTCAGAGTCTGAGTGCTCCAAACATCCTTCTTCCTGTCAGGAGATGAGAAAGATTGGGCCAGCCTCCCTCTGCCCTGAGCACAAGAGGCACCTGTAGCCACTCCTGGAGATCTGGTTATTTTTTTTTGAGGGGGGGGGGGGTCACAGCTGGTGATGCACTCTTGGCCTTGCACTCAGGAATCACTTCTGGCGGTGCTCAGGGGACCCTATGGGATGCTGGGAATTGAACCCGGTCGACCTCGTGCAAGGCAAACGCCCTACCCACTGTGCTATCGCTCTAGCCCCAGATCTGGCCATCTGGGCGCCTAGGTTCTCTGTCGCTCACCTTTTCAAACACAGGAAAGTAGCGAACGATGGCCTTCTGGGCCATGCTGACCACTTCCTTTTGCTGGTCGTCAGGCTTCAGGAAGGGGTGCATAATAAGCAGCTCCAGCAGGTCCAGCGTCCCCTCCACGTACATGTCGATCCTTAAAAAACAATCACAGAAAGCAACAGTTCGTCTCTCCTCCCTCAGGACAAGCTGATTTCCTCAAGTTAACGCGTCAGAGTACTTTTCTGCTAAAGGATCTATTGACCGAAGGACTCCAAAAAAATATTTTTTTTCCCCCAACATTTGTCTCTGGAAAGCAAAGATGCAGAGTCAAGTCCAGTTGTGACTTAGAAAAAAAATCCTCCAGAAGAATGTGTCACAAATTAGAAAGTACAAGAGTCACAAGTGCCCTCTCCCAGACCTTCTCCCCCCCACCTGCCACTCCTATACATGTGTTCGGTGTGGGTGGAAGCTGAGACGTGTAAAAATAGTGAGTGTCATTTGTGGAATGCTTGGGGAATGGCAGGAACTGAGCCAAACAGTCTGCAGTCAGCATTTCACTAGGTCCCATGGTATTAGGAGGCCTGTGTCATAAATTCTTCTCTTCTACAAAAAAAACTCATCAGGACTCTGGAGCGTAACCCAATGCCCAGGGCCAGGCATTTAGAGATACAAGAACCCAGACTGGAGAGAAAATCAAGTGGAGAAGGTGCCTACTTGGTATAGAACTGGCCTGGTTCGATCCCTGGCACCCCATGGGGTCTCCTGAGCACTGCCAGGAGTGATCCCTGATCACAGACTGAGTCAGAAGTAAGCTCTGAACATCGCCAGCATGGCCACTAAATCAATCTTCCCCCACAGAAGTTGGAGATGACAAGGACCCAATTCTGAGTTTGAACTGTAATAATGCACAGTACCCCAGGCCGCAAATGTCAGAGAGATTGCCTGTTCTTCATACTCCATAATAATACATTTGAAAAGAAAGATTAAAAAAAAAAAACAATAAAAAGGGGGCTGGAGGGGCTGGAGCGATAGCACAGCGAGTAAGGCTTTTGCCTTGAACACAGCCAACATGGCCAACACAAGTTCGAGTCCCAGCATCCCATATGGTCCCCCGAGCACCGCCAGGAGTGATTCCTGAGTGCATGAGCCAGGAGTAACCCCTGGGCATCACCGGGTCTGACCCAAAAAGAAAAAAAAAAACAATAAAAGAGGGCTGGACACAGATAGGGTGAGGGTGTGGGGTGGGATGATTCTGGGTTTTTTGGTGGTGGAAAATGGGCACTGGTGAAGGGACGGGCGTTTCATTGTATGACCGAGACTTAAACCCGAAAGCTTTGTAACTGCTCTCACGGTGATTCAATAAATAAAATTATAAAAATGAAAAAAAAAAAAGGTAAGGTGGAGTTCATGCCCAATTCAACCAGACTAATCAATGGCTGAGTAAATAGCAGTACTCCTACAAAAAAAGGGGGGGGGGGCTGGAGCAATAGCACAGTGGGTAGGGTGTTTGCCTTGCATGTGGTCAACCCAGGTTCAATCCTTGGCATCCCACAGGGCCCCCCAAGCACCACAAGGAGTAATTCCTGAGTGAGGAGGAGGAGGAAGAAAAGGAGGAACAGGAGGAGGAGGAAGAGGAGGAGGAAGAGGAGGAGAAGGAAAAAGAGGAGGAGGAAGAAGAAAGAAGAAAAAAGGGAGAAGGAGGAGGACGAGGAGGAGGACGAGGAGAAGGAGGAGGACGAGGAAGAAGAGGAAGAGGAGGAGGAGGAGGAGGAAGAAGAGGAGGAGGAAGAAGAAGAAAGAGGAAAGAAGGAAGAAGGAGGAGGAGGAGGAGGAGGAGGACAAGAAAGAGGACGAGGAGGAGGGCGAGGAGGAGGAGGAGGAGGAGGACGAGAAGGAGGAGGAAGAGAATCAAGAAATAGCAGCAGCAGCAGCAACCATAAAAGCTTGAAATCTGAAAAAATCCTGCCCAAGATATTAGACCAATTCTCTTCTCTCATTTTTACGCAGGGTTCCTATATCAATCCCCTAACTGTGTTTCCTCCCTGTTCGCCCTAAGGACACAGAGCAGTGGAGGGCAGGGAGTGAACTAAGGCATCAGGAAGACAACAAGCCGGAACACCCGAGAGTAGCCACGGTACAGGGTTCTCTCCTTGAGGTCTCTGCCAAAGAGATGGTGCTTCTCTGCGATGTAGTGGAGAATGCTCCGTGTCTGCACCAGCTTCATCCCATCGATTTCCACCATCGGCACTTGCTGGAACAGCAGGTGGTTTCCTGAGAAGGGAAGTGCAGAGTGAGGAGTGAGCATTTCCCTGCCCCTCCTGCTCCGAGGTCCTCTTGGTGCTTAGCGGATCCTTGGAACATCCAAGGTGCTCGGATGAGGAGGACAGTGAGGCCAGGGCTTCGGGTAGGGCAGGAGACACCAGCTCCCCGATCACAGTGCCACCCCGAGCAGGAGCGTTAGCCTCACAAGCAGCCTGCAAGCTAGCATTACTCTCAACATTCCTTTCGGCTTCTCGCCCTAGGAAAAAACACATGGCCTCAGTGCACGGAAGAAGAGGGAGAATCGTGAAGGTTCTGCAGAGCTGTAGGAGCCGATACACCAGCCAGGAACTGCATGTGTCTAAAGCCAAGTCTAAATTTTGAAACCTCTAAAATGCAGTTCCGGGGCTGGAGAGATAGCACAGTAGGTGGAGCGTTTGCCTTGCACTCAGCCAACCCGGGTTCCATTTCCAGCATCCCATTTGGTTCCCTGAGCACCTCCAGGAGTAACTCCTGAGTGCAGAGCCAGGAGGAACCCCTGTGCATCGCCGGGTGTGACCCAAAAAGCAAAAACAAACAAACAAAAAAAACTATCAGGGTTGGAGCTATAGTACAGCGGGTAAGGCGCTTGCTTTGCACACGGTTGACCTGGGTTCAATCCCCAGCATCCCATCTGGTTTCCCCAGCACCTCCAGGAGTAGTTCCTGAGTGCAGAGCCAGGAATAACCCCTATGCATCACTGGGTGTGACCCGAAAAAAGCAAAAAAAAAAAAATCAACATCAGTGACAGTGAATCACATTTCCATACTTACCATCCTGCAGCCTCTGCAACTGTTCTTTTGTTTCTAGAAACTCTTCATCAAACTGAAATTTAAAAAAAAAACACCCCCCCCAAATGAAGGTAAATATTGTAATAGTTTCAGGACTTGAAATACCAAATTCACTGTATCACCGTCATCCTGTTGTTCATTGATTCACTAGAGTGGGCATCAGTAACGTCTCCATTCATCCCAACCCTGAGATTTTAGCAGCCTCTCCTGACTCGTCCTTCCCAAAGCTGCCGTATTGGAGGTTCTTTCAGGGTCAGGGGAATGAGACCCGTATTGTCACTGATTTTGGCATATCGAATATGCCATGGGGAGCTTGCCAGGCTATGCCGTGTGGGCGGGATACTCTCGGTAGCATGCCGGGCTCTCTGAGAGGGACAAAAAATGTACGTAAGAGAATACAAGCAAGTATGTTAAAACCCAACACATGTGTGCTGTGTTCAAGTTAACATGCTGCAAATGCAGAGAGAACAAAGACATTCAGTGTCCACATCTTGGGTTCTGAGTATGCACCGAGCACACGCTCCTAGGAGCCAAGGGTGCTTCTGTGATGTCAGAAAGTAAAGGCATGTTCAGAAGTGATGAGACACGTCACAGGCAAGGATGCAGAGGGCTCTACTGGATGAAGTACCCTCGACAATTCAAACTCAACAGGAGCAACACCGGTCCAGGGCTGTCTCACACGCCATCACCACCAAAAATACCTGGCCCCATTTTTAAAAGGGCCGGTGTTCAGGCAGAGATAGTAAGTACAGCAGATACCTACCTGCCTTGCAAGGGCCAATCCTAGTTCCCTCCCCAGTACCAAAGACCATCCCTGAGCATGACCTCAGTACCATCCCTGAGTACCATCCCCAGTACCATCCCTGAGCATGACCAGGGATGGCCCGTGAGTCAGGGAGTAAGTCCTGAGCACAACTCAGTGTGATCCAAATTCCCTCCCCTCCCCCAAAATGGGGACTAGGAAACAGAAAAGCTCCTCAAAAAAAGAAAGAAAGAAAGAAAGAAAGAAAGAAAGAAAGAAAGACAGACACCAGAATTAGCACTAATTACTAATTGTGCATCAACTCAGAAAAATCACCAATTTGCAAGCTGCAGTATGAATGATTCTGGTCAGAATCATAAGGGTGCTGAAAGCATTAGGCCAGAAAGCACAAACTATTCAACCCTTTTGAAGTCTCACCCCACTGGCTCTCTATTTAACTCATCCATCTGAAAAACTGATCCAACAAGAGCTCCCCAACAGGGAGTACTCTGAGATATGTCCTATAGTGCAGAAGGACTCAGTAACCATGCAAAAACATTGTTCCAAACATTTCACCTGAACCTCAGAATAAAAGGTAAAGGTAAAGGCCCTCCCGTTGATCATCGATTTGCTCGAGCGGGCCCAGTAACGTCTCCATTGGAGACTTTGTTGTTACTGTGTCTGGCATATCGAATACTCTCGGTAGCTTGCCGGGCTCTCCGAGAGGGGCGGAGGAATCTCAGAATGAAGTAAGAAATTAGGCACTTATAGAATTTGAAATATCCTTGCAATGCAAGTGGCTTGAAATCTTTCTCTCAAACCTATAGGCAGAATAAAGCATTTTATTGTGTGTGTGTGTTTGTGTGCGTGTGTGTGTTTGTGGGTGTGTGTGTCTGTGTGTAAGAGTCTTTAAGGCACACAACTTTCAGAAACTCTTTTGGGAGATGTATTTGCATCTGTCACCCTCACTCTGTCATTGCCACTGAACCAGCTCCTCTAATCCAGACATCCGTTCCCAACGGAGAGCGTCATCTCTGTGGTCCAGGAGCAAATCTTTATTTAAAAGAGACCTAATGGAACGGGTATGTGGCTCAGGGTTACAGCAGCTGTCCTGCATTTGGAGGGCCTGGATCTGATCACCACCAACACACACACACGCTTTAAAAATAAAAAAGGAATTTTATATCAGCCTGGTAGCCTCCTCTAATGATTCTTTTTGATGCAGGTTCATTTCCAAGCCATGTAACTGATGGGTTTGTACAAAGTCCTGCAGACGTTTCCATTTCTCTTACACATAATTCTCTTCACTGAAGTCAAGGGCATATTAGAATAGAAAGCAAGTACTGCCCTGGATGAAAAAGTGATTAACCATGGGGCCTGAGTGATAGTACACTGGGGAGGGTGTGAGCCTTGCACACGGCCCACCAGGGTTCGATCCCCGGCATCCCATATGGTATCCTGAGCACTGCCAGGAGTAATTTCTGAGCACAGAGCCAGAAGTAACTCCTACTGCATTGCAAGGTGTTCTCCCTCCCCCCCCCCCAAAAAAAAACTAGAAAAGAAATGTAGAAACCAAGCACCTTGAGTCTTCATTAGAGCCTGGATGGGTGAGGGGATGCAAGAGGAACAGATACAACCACTAAAGCGATGGAAGTTAGAGCGGTACTTGGGGATAGCTGGGACTTTTTGAATGTTGATTGTGTATCATTTTGTTAGCTGTAGAAATGATATTGTGGTCATTGGAACAACTGTTCATTCTCAGGGGAAGATACATGCTGCTCAGGGGTCTCTCCTGTCATTGGGGGATCATATGTGGTGCCAGGGACCAAACCAGGGTTGACCGCAAGCAAGGAAAGGCCCTAACCACTGAACTAGGGCTTGTCTCCAGCACATTTTTAAAAACAAATCTTCCAGATGGTTCTGATGCTGACGCCTGAAACAGTGCCTATGACTCTGTCTGTACCCTTGGCTTCTACACTCAAACATAGGTAAAAGGTCCACGCATAATTCCTGAGGGAAGTGACCTCTTCCACACCACAGCACTTTCTGTAACTCCTGAGAGAATTGCCCCGAAGTCTTGAAGTAGGAGTCTGGGGCGCTCTTTCACATGTGTTCTCTTTCACTTGTCTCAGGAGGGGATCAAACTGGGTTTCTGGAGGAAAATGAAGCCCCAGGCAGCTGAAAATCAGCATCGAGCAAGGCAGAAATTGGGTTCTGAGGACTCAACCCAGAAGGCTGAGACCGAGGATTCTGAGTCCCCCGAGGTCAGGCCACCTGCCAGCAGGCTGTGGTCACCGGGGTCCCATGGAGGGTCATAACCTCTCTGGGGATCATGAACACACCCACGGGCAGCCAGCCGTCTTCCAAGTGTTTCATAGCTTTGTGAGAATATGCTTCGCTAAAACTGCCTTGGGGGGGGGGGAGGCTGGAACGATAGCACAGCGGGTAAGGAGTCTTTCTTGCACGTGGCCGAACGGGGTTCGATACCTGGCATCCCATATGGTCTCCCCAGCACCACCAGGAGTAACCCCTGAGCATCGCCAGGTGTGACCCAAAAAACAAAGAATAAACAAACAAAAAAAAAGCCTTTAGTAAAGAAAAGGGGAGTGACCACCGATGCTTTGGGGATCCGCTCTGTGATCCATGTGGTCCAAAGCAGTGGGCTCCAGACGGAAGCCCCCTTATCGCTCAGCCCATCTGTCGACCCACGGTGCTTAGTCTAGCAGGGTCAGGCGCTCATGGAAAGCGATGTCCTACTCGTTTTCTTTCATAGAGCTGGATCTCCAGGCGTGACTGAGAATCGTGACCCAAAGGGACACAGTACAAAAAGGGTCGAGCAGGCAGAGGGCCCATCCTATAAACCTGGGCTGAGAAGTCCGAACTGTCTAAGGCTGACAGAGATAACAGGAGTTAGCTGACATCATTCAGGTCTGATGAGCAAGAATAATTGTGAGGGCCTCTTAATAGCTCTGTCCTCCCGTTGTTCATCAATTTTGCTTGAGCGGGCACCAGTCACGTCTCCATCGTGAGACTTGTTGTTACTGTGTTTGGCATGTCGAATATGCCATGGGGAGCCTGCCTGGCTCTGCTGTGCGGGCGGGATACTCTTGGTAGCTTGCCGGGCTCTCCGAGAGGGACGGAGGAATCGACCCTGGGTCGGCTGGCCGCAAGGCAAATGCCCTACCCGCTGTGCTATTGCTCCAGTCCACGGGTCTCTTAATATTTTTTTAAAAAAAAAGCAATCTGAGGAGCCAGGGAGGTTTCTCAAAGGCTTGGCACAGATGCACTGCAAGTAAGAGTCCTGGGTTTGAACTCCAGTGGGGCTGGGAGTGATCCCTGAGCACCATTGGGTGTGGTCCAAAAGACCAATTTTAAAAAATCCCAAAGGCCTGAAGGGGCACTGACTTGAAGGAGGCAGGTCTCTCGACAGGGGTGGTCCTAGCAGATTCAGCAATGGGTGCTCTGTGGAAATGATGGGTCAGGGGCCTCAACAACGCTAATGTCGTAACCGAAGTCAAAGGCAGGATTTATAGAACTTAGAAAATGATAAAATGGGGGCTGGGGAGATTGGACAGTAGGCAAGAGACTTGGTGGAGTGATCTGTGGGCACAGAGCCAGGAGAAAGCCCTGAGTATGGCCAAAAAAACTTTCAAAAAGAGGGAGGAGGGAGAAGGAAGGAGGGTGGAAGGAAGGGAAGGAGAGAAGGAGGAAAGGGAAGGAGAGAGCGAAGGAGAGAAGGAAGGAAGGAAGGAAGGAAGGAAGGAAGGAAGGAAGGGAAGGGAAGGGAAGGGAGGGAAGGAAGGAAGGAAGGAAGGAAGGAAGGAAGGAAGGAAGGGGGAGGGAGGAGGGAGGGAGGGAGGGAGGGAGGGAAGGAAGGAAGGAAGGAAGGAAGGAAAGAAGGGAAGGGAAGGGAAGGGAAGGGAAGGGAAGGGAAGGGAAGGGAAGGGAAGGGAAGGGAAGGAGGGGGAGGGAGGGAGGAGGGAGGGAAGGAAGGAAGGAAGGAAGGAAGGAAGGAAGGAAGGAAGGAAGAAAACATCCATCATGTGGCAAATGAACCCCAAACACAACAATAGTCGTTTGTCGTCCTTGGAAGTTGCCACGGTAATGACTCATTCTAAAAATGGATAAAAGACACGATAAAGATATAAAAGATAAAAGATATAAGATAAAAGTATCCAGCATTTTTCTTGCCATTGTATGAGCTGCGCTTCAGGGAAATGAAATAATCAGCACATGAAAAATGACCCTTTAGAAAGGAATCACTGCTAATATATTCAGGTGAAATAATCATGGTAGAAAAACAGCCATTTTGTAATTCCTCAAAATCATGACGATAAACAGCCGCTACAACCACTGGTTGAAAAGGGAATGGAAGAAACTTGACAGCCCGCGGATGAGGCTGACGTCACCTGAACACTCACTGGTCAAGCTTTGCTGAAAAGTGAGCTGGCCAGACATGCATTCTCTGAAGTCGTGCAATAACACCAGTCCACAGTAAATCTCTGCTTTAAACTGGCAGTGGGGAAAAAAAAATCTAAAGCTAGAAAAAGAAACGGGGCCTGAATGTAATCACATCTCTGGGTCTAGCTTAGCGGTTTACAGAAAATATGGTGAAGGGAGGAACATGTTTAAAGACTGTGAGCTTCAATGTGCTCAAGGTGACCAAGGCCGCTGGAACCAAGAAGCAGTTCCAGAAATTGTGAGCCCACAGGCCCCGCACAATAAAGATCTTTTTTATTCGTGCCAAAATAAATAAATAAATAAAATGTGGGTCTTCAGTCAAATCCAGAGTGGCGAAATTTTATATGCAGTTTCTGCCACAAATAACTGGCACTAGAAATAAATGCAGAAAAGCAACACCCAGATGGGGGCAACTAATACCATTTTTTTTTTTTATAAAAGGGTCCAGGGCCCTTTAAGAAATTCATGACTCTAGAGCCAGGATTTGGGAAAATAATCCCAGAGCATTTTGAACTGCCCGAAAGTTATTTAGTAAGAGGAGTGATGGTGAAAGAACAAAGAAAGAGAAGAGTACTGTTTTATGCCCAGAGCCTATCCGAAAATACAATCTAAACAACATGAAGAGTTGCTGGATTATAATCCAGAGTACAAAATAGTGGACATTTACACGGAGGTAAACAACGACTAAATAAACAGGTAGGGATGGAAAAGAAAATATTTTTCCTTACACAAAAATTCTAAAAACAGATATTTTCCCTTCTGAAAGATGGAGTTTTAACAATCCCTTTGTGGGTTGAATTTCCTGATTCACTCCCGAAGAACCAAGGTAAGAAAAAAAAAAATAGTCCATTTCCAAAGAAGAAACTGCAGATAGGCCTTGATCAATGACCACGATAAATAGCACTGGTGAGAACTCACGTAAATTCTACTCTGATGCAGTCAGCAAAGTCCTGTGCTTTTGAACCCCCATCTAATTAGGAGGGGAGGGGGAAAAATCAGAGAAGTCCAAATAGGGAGGATTCTACAAAACAAAAATAAAAAAAAAAAAACAAGCCATAAATTCCTGACAGTTTTCTCAACGGTCAAGGTTGTATAAAGTAACAGAAAAATGGAAAGACTCTGACAGACGAAAGGAAACTAAGGAAAAGCAATGATTAAATATAATGTCCCTGGCTTTACAGAAGGTTCATGGAAAAACTAACTGGGACCAGTCTGCAGTTTGCTCAGATAACCCTGTTCATTTCTTAGCTGACTTGACTGTTCACTGAGGAAAACTGGAAGACTGAGCTCGTCTCCAAACCTGTCTATGTCTAGAATCATCCCCAAGAACGAAGTTTATTGTTTAAAAGACACAGAGGAAACTGTTCCCGTTTTGTTTTAAATACTAAGATACAACCTGCGTACCTGATTTAGACCCAGACTGGATCCGAGTGAACAAGAAAAAAGAGGTGTGCGAGACAGTGTGTGATAACAGTAAGGAATCGTGCAAGAATGATTGAGCCGGGTAAAAACATTCTGGTTATGGGTCACAATTGGTCTTTTTTAGAGGGGGGAAAAAAAAGGTCTTGCTTTAAAACTGCCAGAGTACAAACGGAGTGGGTGGCCGGGTGGGGTGGACACTGATGGAACACAGATGGACAAAAGAGACAGCTGGCTGGTGTTCTTGAAGGTAGGTGATTGGAAGTGGAATTTGGGGCGAGGGGAGAGGAAGGGGAGGCAGGGAGAGAGAGAGCAACTCCCCCAAAGAGAGAGAACAAACCTCCCACCCCAAAGAGAGAGAGAGGAGAGAGAGGGAGAGAGGGAGGGAGAGAGAGAGGAGAGTAAAAGAGAGAGGAAAGAGAGAGGGAGAGAGAGGAAGAGAGAGGGGGTAGGGAGAGAGGGATGAGGGAGAGGGAGTGAGGGAGGAGAGAGAGAGAAGGAGAGAGGAGAGGAGAGGAGAGGAGAGGAGAGGAGAGGAGAGGAGAGGAGAGGAGAGGAGAGGAGAGGAGAGGAGAGGAGAGGAGAGGAGAGGGAGAAAGAGGAGAGAGGGAGAGAGGAGAGAGAGGGAAAGACAGGAAGAGAGGGAGAGGGAGAGAGAGAGGGAGGAAGAGAGAAAAGGGGAGAGAGAGGAGAGAAAGAGGGAGAGAGAAAGAGAGGGGAGAGAGAGGGAGAGAGGGGGGTCAGGGAGAGAGCGCGACCCCCCAAAGAGAGAACGAACCCCCCACCCCAGAGAGAGAGGGGGCGGAAAGAGAGAGAGGAGAGAGAGGGAGGGAGAGAGAGGAGAGAAAGAGAGAGAAAAAAGAGAAAAGAGAGGGAGAGAGGGGGTCAGGGAGAGAGAGAGGCGACCCCCCAAAGAGAGAGAGCAACCCCCCCCACCCCAGAGAGAGAGAGAGCGCGCGCGACCCCCGGCCCCCGGGACCCGCCCCGAGTCTCCCGCCCGGGTCCGGGGCGCCCCGGGGTCGGCGCTCGCGCGGGTGGGCGCGGGGTGGGCGCGGGGTGGGCGCGGGGGACCTACCTCGACGCCCGCGGCCGCCAGCGCCCAGCGCACCGACTCCATGCGGCCCCGCCCGTTGGGGTAGTGCAGCCGCGGCCGCGCCGACATCCTCGGCCTGCGGGGACAGCGACGGGCGCGGACACGGACGCTCGCAGGGGGGACGGACCCCGGCCCGGGTCCGAGCCGCAGCCCCCGCCCCGCAGCGCGCGGCTCCCTAGGTCGTGCGGGGGGGAGGGGAGGGGGTCCTGTGTCCATCCCCCCCTCCGGTCCCTCTCTGTGGGGGTCGCGCCCTCCCCTGCCCCCTCTCTCTCCTTCCCTCTCTTCCCTCTCCCTCTTTCCTTTCTCTCCTTTTCTCTCTTCTCTTTCTCTCCCTCTTGTTCCTCTCTCTCCTCTCCTTCTTTTCTTTCTCTCCCTCTCTCCCTCTCTCTCCTCTCTCTCCTTCCCTCTCTTCTCTCTTTTTTCTCTCTCCCTCTTTCCCTCTCTTCTTCCCCCATCTCTCCCTCTCCTCTCTTTCTCTCCCTCTCTCCCTCTCCCTCTCTCCTTTCTCTCCCTCCCTCTTTCCCTCTCTTCTTTCCTCTCTTCTCTCTCTTATTTCTCCCTCTCCCTCTCCCTCTCCCCCCTCTCTCTCTATCCTCTCTTTCTCTCTCTCTCTCTCCCTCCCTCCCTCTCCCTCTCTCCTTTCTCTCCCTCCCTCTTTCCCCTCCTTTCTCTCTCCCTCTTTCCCTCTCTTCTTCTCTCTCTCCCTCTCCCTGTCTCTCTCTCTCTCTCTCTCTCCTTCTCCCTCTCTCTCTCTCTCCTCTCTCCCTTCTCCCTCCTTCTCTCTCTCCTCCCGATCTCGAACAGCCCAGCCAGTGCCAGCCGCCCAGACGCGGGTCCCCGCAGGACGGGACCTGGCGGACCCCCGAGCATCCGCAGACGCCCACCTCGAGAAAACCTTCGCATTTTTGCTCTCCTCTCCCCAATTCTGCCAATATCCACACTCGCCCCAAACACCCCCCGCCCCGAGTCTCCCGCCCACCGGAGGGGTGGGGTGGGGGTGGGGTGGGGACCACCGTCTGCCGAAGGATGCGCGACCTCCCCCAGCCCCCCGGGCGCACCTGGGGACTCGGGACTCCGCTGGGGTCAGCGGGGACCCCGGTCCGCGGCGACCCCCACACTGCCCCCACGGCCTAGGAACGGGGAGGGCGGTGGTCGAGCCTCTGCAGGGGCGCATGCATCCAGACCCCGCAGGGTGGTCCAGGGAAACGCGCGCGCGCCCAGAAGACCCCCCAACCTCCACCCAGGGGCCACCCGCCGTGCTGGGCGGGGGGCTTGGGGGGGGATCGCTGGGAGGGGGACGAGTCGGGAGAGCCCCGAGGGGACACTAGGGGGGATGCAGGGGGCGACACCGACCTGGACGCGGGACAGCTGGACACCTGGACAGCTGGACACCGGCCTGCACGCGGCGAGCGGCTCTGTCTGGGCAGGGGCGCAGCGCGCACTGGCAGGCGCGGGCGCGGGGCGGGACCCGGGCGGCCTGGGCGACGCCCACGGGGCGGGGCTCCGCGGAGGCGGCCAATGGGGCGCGCCTACTTAGCATGCCCCGCCTCCCTCCGCAAGGCATGCTGGGCCCGGCGCGCGGGGCGCCCACGAAGCCCCCCGCGCACACCCGCGCGAGCCTCGCGGGGCCCCGGGCACCGTGGCAGAGGCGGGTGGCGATGTGCCCGAGCGGGGCGGGGGCTCGCCACGAGGCCCGCGCGGGTCGCCCTCGGCGAGAAGTGGGCGGCCGCGCGGGCCTTATATACCGGGCGGGCGCGCCGCGTCTCTCGGATGTGAGGGCGATCTGGCTGCGACATCTGTCACCCCATTGATCGCCAGGGTTGATTCGGCTGATCTGGCTGGCTAGGCGGGTGTCCCCTTCCTCCCTCACCGCTCCATGTGCGTCCCTCCCGAAGCTGCGCGCTCGGTCGAAGAGGACGGCCTTCCCCGATAGAGACGGACCGGTCTTCGGTCGAGGGTATACGAGTAGCTGCGCTCCCCTGCTAGAACCTCCAAACAAGCTCAAGGTCCATTGTAGGAGAACGTAGGGTAGTCAAGCTTCCAAGACTCCAGACACATCCAAATGAGGCGCTGCACGTGGCAGTCTGCCTTTCTTTTGCATTTCTTTCATTGCACTGTTTGCAATTATTTGCAATTTTATATAAAATTTTTATTTTTTTATATATTTTATATATTTTATATGCAATTTTATATATAAAATTATATGCAATATAATGCAATATAATTATATGCAATATAATTAATATAATATGCAATATGATTAAATGCAATATATTGCATATGTTTTATATATAAAAATATATGCAATTTTATATATAAAATTATATGCATATATAATTATATGCATTTAATTGCATTATTGCATTACTCAATGTATGCATTTAATTGCATTAGACCATTGCACTGTTTTTATTTTATTTTGTTGATTTATTTTATTGATTTTATTGATTTATTGGTTTACTGACATTTTGCTAATACATTGCATCATACATCCTGCCTGCACGATATGTGACTATACAATATGCATTGTTTTTATTGATCTATTAATTCATATCATTAATTTGTTGATACATTGCATCCTACATCATGCATGATATGTGATATGTAAAGGTAAAGGTAAAGGCCCTCCCGTTGATCGTCGATTTGCTCGAGCGGGCCCAGTAACATCTCTATTGGAGACTTTGTTGTTACTGTGTCTGGCATATCGAATACTCTCGGTATGTGATATGTAATGTTTATATTATATATTATGACATAATATGATTTGATACAGTTAGTTTATGCATTTAATGCAGTAAAACAATGCATTGTTTTTATTGATTCATTAATTCATTAATATATTATTGATTTATTAATACATTGCATCATACGTAATGCATAATATGTGATATGTAATACTTATATGTATATAATATATAAGTCCCCGGTCGTTCGCCGTGATCGTATAATATATAATACAACATGCATTTATTGTGCATTTATTATACAGTATGCATTTATTGATGCATTAATTTATTAATACATTATATTATATTATTTTATTATATTATAAACAATGCATAATATGCAATATATAATGTTCATAATATATTATAATATAATATGATTTAATACATTTAATTTATGCATTTAATGCATTAAACAATGCATTATTTATTGATTTATTAATTTATTGATATATTGTTAATTTATTAATATGTCACATCATACATAATGCATAATATGTAATATATAATACAATATGCGTTTATTCTGCATTTATTATACAGTATGCATTTATTAATACATTGATTTATTGATACATTATATTATTATTTTATTATATTATACATAATGCATAATGTGTAGTATATAATACAATATGCATTATATGCATATGTAGATAATATGCATGATACAATACATTATATGCATGATATAATACAATACATTGATACATATTCATTTAAGTTAAAATTGATTTTTTAAAAAATTTTTATTAGTGAAGCACCCTGAGGTACAGTTGTAGACTTACAAATTTTCGTGCTTGGGTTTCAGTTATACAATGATCCAGTACCCATCCCTCCACCAGCGCCCATTTCCCACCACCACTGATCCCAGTATCCCGCCCAGCCCCCATCCCCCCCATCCCACCCTGCCTCTGTGACAGGGCATTCCCCTCAGTTCTCTCTCTCCTTTTGGGTGCTGTGGGAAGCTCCGCCCAGGATGGGAGATGCATGCTGAAAGTAGACTAGAGACCGAACATCATTGCCACTCAATTCCTCTTTTGCAAACCACAGCACCTAAAATTAATGTTAAATAATTTGCATTTTAATTTTAAAATTAATACATTTTAAATGCAAATACGAACTCAATACGTTTATTAAAATCAATTTTAATACAAATAAAAAATTTTAATACAAAAAAGTGGAAACCATAGCATAAAAAAAACTAAAGCATTTAAATGAAGTTCAAAACAAGAATGGTAACTGATGGAGGTACTTAAAAAAAATTTAAAGGTACAATACAAAATTCACATCATTTTAGAGTATTTACCTTCAAAAGTATTTACCGTCAAAAGCATGTTGTTTTGGAAGCTTTTTTTTTTTCTTACATGAAATTGCAGCCAACAAGCTGGGCCAGATTTTATTTTCAGACTTCTCTGCGAGAGTGGGGGGTAGGGGTGTAGGGTAGAGAGAATGAGTTGCTGAGGCGAGCCCTCTTACTTGACCATGGGATTTAAAGTAGCATGATGAATTTTAAAAATGGGGAGGTATAGTATTGCAGGATAACATTGGTTTGCCCTTCCTCCCTGGCCGCGGGGTTTGTTGATTGCTCCTGGAACCTGTCCATTACCTTTGTCTCCTGATCATACTCTGTTGACTTGTAAATATTGTTTTTCTCTTCTCCTTAATGTCCTTTGCAGGGTTAGTTACTTCGGAGCAATTACTTTTTGTATGGACACAGGAAGACTATTAAAAAAGACATGCTTTTGTAACTTGGGAGTTAATTGATCACAATCACGATCACAACCTGTTATTCGTCGATTGCCTCGAGCAAGCCCCAGCCCCAGTAACGTCTCCTTCGTCCTAGCCCTGAGATTTTTTTTTTTAAAGTGCCATATTCAAGGCTCTTTCAGAGTTAGGAGAATGAGCCCCTTCATTGTTACTGGTATTTGGAGTATTGGGTACCACACGGGGAGTTTGCCAGACTCTGCCGTGTGGGCAGGTTACATTCGGTAGCCTGCCAGGTAGTCCAAAGTAGGAATGAGATGATAAGATGTCGCCTCGCGCTTCCGGGAGCTGGATTTTATAGTCTCTGAGTCTTGGCCGCTGATGGGATTACACGGCGCCAGGGGGCCAGTTGGTGGGTGTGACCCCCGCCTACTGGAAGGTGGAGGATCTGGGTGGAGGATGCTCAGCCCCGATCCGAGCAGGCTTGGAGATCTCAGCCCCGGGACCCGCGTGTCTTTGTTATCTGGAGTTAATTGACTCCAGATAATATTACCTCCTGGACATCTGCTCTCTGGGCTTGAAACTCAGTCGCCCTTTCTTCCTAGATCCCCAAAAGCAGGGTCCTTCCTGACAAGCGATTAGATGGACCCAGGGCAAGCTGTGAACTACTCTGGCATCGAAATGGGCCATGCCAAAGCGCCATAGTACTTAATAAGGTCCTGGACAGATTCTGTCATGATCCAAAAAGTAATAACTAGATTCGGACCCTGCTGGGGTTAGGAATGATTGATTAATCAGGCCTGAACACTGTAGTCTGAGTTTGTGGCTAGATATCCCCAGAGAGTTGCCCTGCAAGCAACTCTCCTATTACTTTGTCCGTACAGAATGACAAATATTAGGAAGTAGAATTAAGATGTTAATCAAGTTACTGGTTTAAGGAAAGGAGAAATACACTCTAAGTGCTATTTGGCCCTCATGGGCTGCAGGTGGTCAGGAACATGTTTGATTGCAATTGCAGTTGAACATTTTCATAGTAATAAAGAGATGTGAAGCCTTTCCTTCAGGGGAGGTTCTTCTAGGAAATCAATCAAGGACAAAATCTCACTCTAGGTGACCAGGAGATCTGGTCAAGGGCAGGATTGCATCTAAGATACGGTTGCTCTCTCCTTTCCTTAGCTAGTAATCCATTTACACAATCATATTAAATTTACTTCTGACTAATATTTCTAGTCATTTTGTATGGACCCTGTAAGAGATATATTAAGCTTAAAGGGTGTCTCTCTTTGGCGATATCTTGCTATATATCTCAGTCTACAGTTCGCAGGCCAAATTAGTCTTTCCTAATTCTAGCAGGGTCCTTATTCGGTCACTTCTTTTTTCTTTTTTGGGTCATGGCAGTTTGTTTCATGACCATGCTCTAATTTCTTATACTTCTTTTGGCTCTTAATCTGTTTCTTCCATGTCAGGGTAGCTTAGAGCTTGCCCTGGGTCTATCCAAGTCCCCCACCGGGACCTTCCTTTGGGAGTGTTAGAAATTAAGGGCAACTAAGGCTTAAGTCAAGTAAAAATGAGGGATGTTCATGTTATTCAGAGTCAGTTAACTCCCAATTTACAAAAGCACGGCATTAAGTGCTTTCCTGCGTCTATTAAAAAGGACATGGCACTTTCATCATCCTGTTATTCGTCGATTGCCTTGAGCAGGCCCCAGTAACGTCTCTTTCATCCTAGCCCTGAGATTATATTCAAGGCTATTTAGGAGAATGAGACCCATCGTTGTTACTGGTATTTGGCATATTTGGTACGCCACGGGGAGTTTGCCAGACTCTGCCCTGTGGGCAGGCTACATTTGATAGCCTGCAAGTTTGTCCAAAGTAGGAATGAGACAATAAGATGTCATAAAAAAAAAAAAGTTCTGTTAAGATGTTGCGCGGCCGCAAATGCGGCCGCGCGGTTCCAGGATCTGGATTTTATAGTCTCTGAGTCTTGGCCGCTGATGGGATTACACGGCGCCAGGGGGCCAGGTGGTGGGTGTGACCCCCGCCTACTGGAATTTGGAGGATCTGGGTGGAAGATGCTCGACTCCAATCCGAGTAGGCTTGGAGGTCTCGGCCCCGGAACCCGCGTGGCTGTGTCCCTCTGCCAGTACCTTCATGGGTGCGGAGAGTGGTCTCAGCATGGTGGTGGCTGGTCCTGGAGGTCTTCGGCTGCCGTAGCCCTGGCCGGGGCGGGGAGGAAAGCTCAACCCGCTCCCCTCCAAGGGACTCCGGGAAGGAACACCCAGGCGCGGGGGCAGAGACTGCACTGTTCTCGTCCGGGATCTGGATTTTATAGTCTCTGAGTCTTGGCCGCTGATGGGATTACACGGCGCCAGGGGGCCAGGTGGTGGGTGTGACCCCCGCCTACTGGAATTTGGAGGATCTGGGTGGAAGATGCTCGACTCCAATTCGAGTAGGCTTGGAGTATGCAAAAGACATAAAGAGAAAAAGCAGTATTTCACTTACATCTGCAAAATCCAGAGCCCTCAAAGGAATTTGACTTTACCAGTTACAGAGTCTGATCTGGGGATATAGGTGATTAACAGATAGGGAAGCAAAGTTCAGAGGAGAGATTAAAGATAAACACAGGGATTGGGAGTGCCCGATAGAATTGGGTGTGCCTCGCGAGCACTGTGATGGGTGTAACTCAATCAAACCTAAGCTTCCTGCAGGAGGAGCAAGGAAAAACCAATGTCACCCGACAGACCCACACCTTGGGAGTGGGGACAGGGAGGCTTCTGGCTCAGCTCCAGGGCGACTCTGCCCATAGCCTTGGAACTGGGAAGGTGTTCTAGGATGCCCCTCATTCATGACCTTCCAGCTCCCCAGAGGGGCCGTTGCAGTCTTCCGGGCGGCAGTGATGGTGTAGACTGTCATCATGAGGCCCTGTTGGTCATAGATGACCTTGTCACAGAACTGGGCAAGCAGCCCAGGGTGCAGGAGGTATTGCTGACAGTCTGTAAGTTGTCAGCATTTCTTTTTTTTTAAAAAGGTATCTTTTATTTTATTTTATTTTTGCCTTTTGGGTCACACCCGGCGATGCACAAGGGTTACTCCTGGCCCTGCACTCAGGAATTACCCCTGGCGGTGCTCAGGGGACCATATGGGATGCTGGGAATCGAACCTGGGTTGGCCGCGTGCAAGGCAAACGCCCTATCCACTGTGCTATCGCTCCAGCCCCAGTTGTCAGCATTTCTCATGGCTCATGTCCACTATCAACATGGGGCAATGGCGGAAGGGGATGAGGACTCCTTTGGCTCCACCCTGCAAGGGAGCCCCGGCCTTCTCCGGGGTCACCACTGGAGTCACCGGAGTCACACCACTGGAGTCTCCGGAGTCACCACTGGACTTCACGACATAATTCAGCACCAGCGTCACCCCATTTAATGTGGTTAAACTCCAGCACCTGGAATATGAAGATGGGTTTCCCATGGCAAGCAGGCCTCATATTCTGAGCCATGCGCTCATTCAGGGTCCCCTGAGCACTGCCCATAATGACTCGAGTCTTCCCAATTCTCCACACCCTCCCAATGGTTTTGATTAACTTTGGTTTGGTTATTTTGGTTTTGGGACCTCGCCTGAGCCCTTGCTAGGGCTTATTCCTGGCAGTATTCAGGGGCCCATATGGGATGCTGGGGATTGAGCCCAGGTGGGCTGCATGTAAGGCAAGCGTCACTGTATTATCCCACTGTATTATCACTTTGACCCCTGGAATTACTTTTAAAATATATCCTCCAAGTAGCCTAACTTGAAAGAGTCCAAATTTTTAAAATCTTTTACTTCTTGTGATAACCCTTCCAATCACTGCTCTGTCACTGTAGCACTGTCCTCCCGTTGTTCATCGATTTGCTCGAGTGGGCCCAGTAACGTCTCCATTGTGAGAGTTGTTGTTACTGTGTTTGGCATCGAATACATCACGGGTCACTTGCCAGGCTTTGCCGTGCAGGCAAGATTCTCTCGGTAGCTTGCCGGGCTCTCAAAGTGGAGCAGAGGAATCGAACCCGGGTCGGCCGGGCTGGCTGCCTGCAAGGCAAACGCCCTACCCGCTGTGTTCTCTCTCTCTCTCCAGCCCCACTGCTCTGGTCCGAGTGCAGTGGTGTTTACTGCTCTAACTATGTACTTCCAATTTTACAACAGTGTTAACTGTGCAGAATCTTCTGCCCCCGCGTCAGGCTGTCGTCACCGGGTCCCCTCAGAGGGGGACAGGTGGTTTCCCTCCCCACCCCAAGCAGAACCCTGGCAGCCAGAAACTTCCAGAACCCAGCCACAGCCATGCTCAAGGCCTCTCTCTACACACTCGGACGAGCCTCACGCATGAAGGAACCGGCAGAGGAACCCAGGTATGTGGGATCCAGGGCTGAGATCTCCAAGCCTGCTCGGATTGGGACTGGGCCTCCTCCACCCAGATGCCCCACTTTCCAGTAGCTAGACAGTTACACCCACCAACTGCTCCTGGCGCCATGTAATCCCATCAATGGCCAACATCCAGAGACTATCAAACAAAGCTCCGACCCCTTATAGTCTAGCCCATTGATGTACCTGAAGCAGCACAAATGTGTTTGGTTTTAACATATTTGCTTGTATTCTCTTTTATACATTCTCCGTCCCTCTTGGATAGCTGGCAAGCTACCAAGAGTATCCCACCCCCATGGCAGAGCCTGGCAAGCTCCCTGTGGCGTATTCGATATGCCAAAAACAGCAACAATACGGGTCTCATTCCCCTGACCCTGAAAGAGCTTCCAATATGGCACTGTTGGGAAGGACGAGTAAGGAGAGGCTGCTAAAATCTCAGGGCTGGGACGAATGGAGATGTTGCTGGTGCCCACTGGAGCAAATCGATGAACAATGGGATGACACTGATACAGCGATACAGTGAACTGTACAGTAAGAAGTTTTGAAACACCAAAATTCCAAGGTAGGAGATAATGATGTTATCTCGTGGTGATGGTGGGTTTTTGTTTTGTTTTGGGGTCACACCTAGTGGTGCTCAAAGGATAGTATTCATTGCTCTGTGCACGGAAGGAACCACTGGCCGTACTTTGGGGATCATACAAGGTGGAGGGGGTTGGACCCAGCCTGGGTGGCGTATACTGTCTCTAAAATCACCACATTCAAACCAGGACTAAGAGCTCAAAGGGGTACTGTACATCTCCTTTATGTGACTACAAGGTTTGACCCACGTCTTTCCCCCCTCCCTCCCAAAATAAGAAAGAAAACCCACCAAGAACACGGCAAGCAATTTTTCTTAAATTGTTACTTTTTATTTGGAACAGGAGAATTTTTCTTAAATTAACATTCTTCTTCTTTTTATTTTTAAATACATTAGGAGAAACTAATCAAAAAGCAACATTTTATTTCAGAAGGGACTTGCCTAAGTGGCTTTCTGTCCTTCTATCCATTTCAGTGAATTTTATTTACTTATTTTTTTTGCTTTGTCCCAGTTACTCTGTGGTGATCAAGATGAGATTTCGTGGTTATCAGTGCTGAGAGATGTCACATCGGAAAACTGTTTAGGACATTTCTAACTCACACTGCAGTGTCTTTAAGAGACTGATAATACAGATTAATGTGATCTATGCCTCCAGTTTGTCTTCTTAATGTAAGTTCCCCAGAGAAGGTACTCATAATCAATTATATAAAATACAGTACTTTGGTTGCAAATTGTAAAAATAATTCTAAAAATTGACCAGACATATCAAACAAACAAGTTGCTACAGTATGCCTTAAGTGATATATAAAATATGCATTATGTTAAACATCTTCATATGAACGAACATATTGCTTTTGGTCATACACTGAGCGGAAACACACAGCCTGCGTTCTCTCTCTCTTCTAAATGGCACAAAACGATGGCATGATGGTAGGGAAATGCTACTTCGTGAGAAAGCATGGTGCCCATCAACTCTAACAGTACCAGTATTTGTAATTAAAAACAAAATAACGTATTTTTTATATGACACATGTTGACTTGGTTATAGTTTCTCTCTCTCTCTCTCTCTCTCTCTCTCTCTCTCTCTCTCTCTTTCTTTTTTACTTGTACCCCAGCTCTGATAACTCTGGAAAATAACACAGCATCAACTGATTAGATGTATACAGTTCTTTAGACTAGAGGTATCTAAAAACTGAACATCAATTTTCTTCCTGGTAAAAATCTATCCAACATGAACTGGGTGAGGGTTTAGTCAGTAATGGAACTTAATTACAAAATGAATGATCACACAAGAGTAGCTTTTGTGCCCAGGTGGCCTTCCCTGCTGTGAACATATGCATTCCTCAACACCTCCCTGGTCTCTAAACCTTTGGGGATATAGAATGAAAGCCAACCCTTGTTTTCCTGGAAAGCTTTTAGACCAGAAATGAGGTATAGTGATGGAGAGGTACAGTTTATAATGCACCATTGCTACTGGTGTCTTGCAGTACCTTTTTTTCATTTTGTAGTTACTAAAACTCTATATGCAACTGGTAAAATGTTATTTTTACTTAACAAAAAAAAAAGGGCCACTATAAACATCCCTTCTGTAGTATACAGCACGTATACACAATCTGTCCTTTGCCCATTCTGGGGGGAGAGAAGTACTTCATGGGCTCTCACTAATTCTTTAAAGTTTACAGTGTGTTTTCAGTCTTCTAGTTATATCAGTCTCACGATTTTTCAATAAATAAATAAATGTGTTGGATACTTCCCCAAGGGGAGTTGTTTGCTGATGAAAAGAGAGACACGAGTGAAATGAAGAAGAGTGAAATATTTTCTGAATTTGGGACCTATTTTCCCCTTAGCTTTAGGGAAAAGAATTGATGATGTGTAATTATCAGGTAACTGTAATGACCTGAACATAAGATAGAATGTGAAGAATAGGGGACTCACAATCTATTTCGTTCTCTTTTGGGTATTTATAGTTTAAGCCAGCTTAAAAACCAGAACAATAGTGGGAAAGTTTCATTTTAAATTACTTTTTCATACATAATAGAGAAAAAGGAAAATAAATATTGTTAGTCTCATAGTAAAGGACTCATCTCTGAAAACATTTTTTCCTGGTTTTTTTCTTTTTTAGATGAGCGGAGAATATAATACAGAAATAAATTCAGCTTCAAGTTGTGCTTACACGTACATACTTCTCTTCTGAAGTTTTGCTGCCAGTTTGCTAACAGGAAAAATATCACCTAGCAAATCCACATCCACGTGTGCTTTTCTCATGCTCCTAGGAATCCAAGTGGTCGGTCAAGAGCATTCTTGAGCCAGATTGTCCCAAGCGTGAACGTCTCTCTGGTTTTGGGTCACGGCTCTCTGGGACTTATTGAGCTTGCAACACACAATTAATACATCAAAGCAGTGATAGACCCAATTGTTCGGCTGAGCCATAATCAACGCGCTGATGATGTTGATGCGAATCTATGAAAATAATAACTTCGTACAACTTCAACTTGTTTCATCCTGAAACCTGGAAGCAGAGCAAAAGAGTAGCCTGAGCGGCCCTGGGAGGATGCTAGGTCCCTGTCGCATTCAAGGACTGACCTTCTCCCTGGTTTTTAAGGGAACCGTGTGTGGTGACTAACAAGCTCTTCGGAGACGCACAAAGAGTGGACCTTTAGTCCTTTCCTGTATCCATACTAGCTTTGTCGTTTTCAAAACTTGCTGTAAACATTCCTCTCAGTGGAGCTGCCTCTGTCCAACAAATAAAGTTTTGACGGCGGAAAGAAACTACACGAGGGATAAGAGTCAAGTGTGGCACGCTACGGACCCCGAACATCTGGGCCATGGTGATGTCCCAGATAGTAGAACCTCTGTCATACATTTTTTTCTGTTCCCCAGATTGCCCTGAGAATTTAGCCAGAAAATAAGTCGACTGTGTGTTCTTAGCGAGGCCTGGAGAACTGAACTGAGTATAAAATCATCATCAGTTATTATAAAAAAAAATATAGACTGGCTGCTGCTTGGAAATTTAGCTTTTTCATGAATCTGGACAGGGATCCAAGTTAAACTGAGTATGTTGGCCAGGAGGCCAGGGATCCTTTTAACTGGAAAAGCTTTCTTTTTGTGGGAACTTTTACAACTCGATCTTAAAGATGGAAGAAAATTAATCTAGCATCGTAGGATAGAGTTTGGCTTCATGAGATGGCTTCAAACAGCAGAAGGGGCATTGCAAAACCCCCCTCGAGCCTTTATTTAGACTTCTGTCATCTGGGGAACAAAAGCAAAGTGAAGAGGACTACATATAAGTTCTTTCAGAACAGCAGAGTGATTTCAAAGAAATCAAATCAGTAATAGAATACGAAGAAAAGGAAAAGATCATTTTTTTTAAGCGAACTTGTCAGTTCAAGGAAGACTGAGGTACCTAGGTGCCACATTTTAAAACACAACTACTTCAAAAAAAAATAAAAGTAAATTTTAACCGCTTTACAAATATCCGCACACCTTGAATAAAGAAGGTTTTATCACGTAGCCTTAAATTGCACCCCTGTTGCAATACTGCATTAATATTATGTTGTTTCTTTTTTTTAAATCTGTATAAAATATTATCTGGAACCCCAAAGGAAAATCAATTAATCTTTAAAAATTTTGTTACAAAGCTAACTGTAGAAAATGCTCCAACTTAATCCATATATACAAAATGCTGTTGTTTAAGAAAATAAGGGGACCCAGTTTTAGAACAAAATAATTTTGTACAAAAAAGGGTATTGCATTCAAATCAATGTTAAAAAAAAAAGACCCTTAAAAAGAATATTGAAATGTCTTAGTTCAGAAGAATAACTCTAAAGTGTCCGTTCACTTTGATATCCTCCGAGAGTTCTTTGCGGGTGAAACACCAGTGGGCCCACGACAGAGTCTGGCTTTCTGCCCTGTGAGTCCGTGAGTCACCGCCGAGATGCGTACTTGGAAGTCCAGTCCGTCCGGCCATGCACGGGCTGTGCAGCAGGAGGCCGGGGTACGAGTCCAGGAGTGCTTCGAGGCTGGGTATGGAAGAAAGGTCTCCCAGGATGAGGTCTCACCGCCTTGAGGGAAGAATAGCCTGTAATGGAAGAGAAGGGTGGGCTCGATTCAATAAATAAAACTATAAAAAAAAATGGGGAAAAAAAAGTAAGGTGGTGTTCACGCACAATTCAATCAGCCTAATCAGTGGCTGAATAAATAGCAGTACTCCTACATTAAAAAAAAAAATCCCAGTATCCCTCCCACCCCCATCCCCCCCATCCCACCCTGCCTCTGTGGCAGGGCATTCCCCTTTGTTTTCTCTCTCTCCTTTTGGGTGTTGTGATTTGCAAAAGAGACATTGAGTGGCAATCATGTTTGGTCTAGAGTCTACTTTCAGCATGCTTCTCCCTTCCTGGGAGGATCCTCCCAACACCCTTTATTTTGGTGCTCCCTTCTCTATCTGAGCTCCCTTTTCCCCTAGCATGTGAGGGGTATTTGATCATTGTATAATTGAAACCCATGCACAAAAATTTGTAAGTCTACAACTGTACCTCATGATGTCTAATAAAAATTAAAAAAAAATTTAAAAAACAATAATTATATAGAAAGAAAGAAAGAAAGAAAGAGTGGGTTTGAGATGGGCGGGGGTATTCACACCAAACACTGACTGATGCCTCCTGGAGGGCAAAATTCTGAGGTCATGCCTCATTCTTTATTTTGCCACAGCTGGCAAAGCTCAGGGCTTCCTCCTGGCTCTGCTCTCAGAGATCATTCCTGATGATGCTCGGGGACCCATATCCGTGCCAGGAATTGGACCAGATCGGTCAGTGGGAGGCGAGCACCTTATCTCATGCACTGTCTGTCCGTGTATCACCCCTCTTTTGCCTTCATCCCACTGCCATGTAATCTGGCAGCTTCTTCCGACAGGCTGCCCCTTCCAAAGGTTACCAGGGACCGGCCCGACATCAGCTCCACCACCCGGGCCCTTGCTGTGATCATTGCGACAGCCTCCCCGTTGGTTTTCCTGCTTCTGGCCTGGCTTCTGGCTGTCGATCTAGTGACAACCGGGGACTACTGAGGTGAGCCTGAAGGTGGGAGCCAGATACCCCCATCCTGCCTCAAAGCCCAGGCACCTTAGAATCCCACCTGTCCCGCAAAGCCAGGCGTGCTCACTCACACCCCCTTCGGATCTTGTTCCTCAGGTCTCCCTTGCAGCGAGGTCTTCTTTGGCTACTCTGAGAGGACAATCTGCACCCCACACTCTAACACTCCAAGCACACTTCTTCCCCGACTTCCGGTCCAGCTGGCTTTATTTCCCTCCTCTATACCTAGCATTTTCTGTGGAGCACAAGGTCCACCAGAACTGGGAGACGTTTTGACTGTTACTTTTTCTGGTCCCAGGAATCGAACCCAAGGCCTCACACATGTAAGGCAAGTGCTCTTTCACTGAGCTACATCCCTGGGAGTTTATTTTATTTTACTATTTTTGGGTTTGGAGCCACAAATAAATGGCTATGCTCAGTCAGGGATGAGTCCTGGTTCTGCACTCAGGGATCACTCTTGGAGCTCTCAGGAGACGATAAGGGGTGCCCGGGATCAAACCTGGGTTGGCCGCATGTGAGGTGAAGTGCCCTGCCTGCCGTTCTACCTCACCAGGCCCTGGCAGTTTATGTTTTGGACTCTGTGTTTTCAGTGAGTCCATTTTATTTGCAGCACCATGATTTACAATACTGATTTACAATGATGGGGTCCAAGCATATACTGACTGTTCCAACACCATACCCTCCACCAGAATGTCGTCTCTTCTCTACGACTGTCTGTGTCCACTTCCCCCAAGTCCCCCGGCCTCCCATCTTCCTGTAAGTAAGCTCCTGCGTAGCCTAGCTCTCGGGAATTCTGTCTGTCTGCACTAAGGGCTGCGAAGCCTCCAGCATGCTTGGTAGAAAGTAATTGTTCAGGAATTATACGTCGAACCCATTCATGAACTGATGTGAACAAAAACTACTTACCAGGGGGAGGGTCTGGAATGGGCGCCAGGTGAACCCTCTGCACAGCAGAACCTATCTCTTTTTTCAGAAAGGAAGGGATGTAGTTTCCTGTCAGTCCACTGGAACTCGTAGAGCCGGAACCGACTGATTCGTGAAAGCAAAGGCTCATTACTACGCATATATATGGTCCCCACAAGCTTAATAGACAGCAGGGGGAGAAACTAAAGGCAATTGGGGTGAGGAGGAGAGAAAGATAAAAACAATAAACTCTGAGCAGATCACCACACCACATCACACCACACCACACCTTCAGAGAGCGTAGGAGGGACCAAGTCAGGGTTGTGGCCCCCTCTCCCACCACCCTCCTCCCACACACAAAGGGAGGGGGGCTGGTTCGCTAAAGAAATCGAACACGTGGACTTTTCCTTCTTTTCAGAATACTCAATATGAATTCTTCTAAAATTTTCTCCCCCCACAACAACACAGAAGAGTTTGCTTTCCAAGTCATGACTTACTTAACAACCTCTTCTTCATCAACACATTATTTTGCCATTATGAACATGAAATATTTCTCTGTCCATAATTAGAACTTGCTATTCTTTCTTTTTTCTTTTTGGGGTCACACCCGGCGATGCTCAGGGGTCACTCCTGGTTCTGCACTCAGGAATTACTCCTGGTGATGCTCAGGGGACCATATGGGATGCTGGGAATCGAACCTGGGTTGGCCACATGCAAGGCAAACGCCCTACCTGCTGTGCTGTCGCTCCAGCCCCAGAACTTGCTATTCGTAAACTACAATCATATATATATATATGATTTTGTTTGAGGGCCACACGGAGCAATGCTCAGGGCTGACTCTTGATTCTGTGCTCAGTTCACCCCTAACGATGATGTTTCGGGGATCACGTGTGGTACGGGGGATCCAACCAGTCAGCCTCACCTGCTGTACTAGCTTTCCAGCCATACATTTGATTTTTTCGCCCCCCCAAATGTCATTTCCATCTCAAGAGTGCTTTAAGGACGAGAATCCCAAGCTATTCATCTTCCTATTCTAAGAAGGGATGTTTAGGGGCTGGAGCGACAGCACAGCGGGTAGAGCATTTGCCTTGCACACGGCCAACCCAGGTTCGATTCCCAGCATCCCATATGGTCCCCTGAGCACCGCCAGGGGTAATTCCTGAGTACAGAGCCAGGAGTAACCAACCCTTGTGCATCGCCAGGTGTGACCCAAAAAGCCAAAAAAAAAAAAAAAAGAAGAAGAAGGGATGTTTCACAGATGAATGAGGGAAAGTACATACTGGATGGGTGTCCTGAAGATCTTTCATAAGCCCTAAGAGTTAAGAAGAGTTAAGAAGAGTTAAGCCCTAAGCTTCTAGAGACCCATAGAATATGTTATAGACCCATAGAAGGATGTTATCAGGGACCATTTGAAAAAAAAAGGAAGCTACGGCTATTGGGAAAGGAGCTTGTGAGTGGTAGAGTTGCTCTCTGCCTTAACCACACAGAACCCTTCTTGGCCACTGTTTATGGTAGAGTGGGACCAAAACCGTGTGATTGGCCACCTGGAGCACTTTTTGCATTTCTGGTGACGATATACAGGAAGTAAAGTGGAACGGGGAATTTGGACCGGGAAGACACAAAGGGGAAAAAGAAGCCGATGTGGTCAATAGACACAAGCAAAGATATCCAGCCTCGTTAGTCGACAGGACATGCATGTTTAAGCCAGAGTGGAACGCCAGAGCACACCTATAGCATAAGCGCCTGGTTTACAATCTTGACAGGACCCAAAGGAATCCAGGAGGCAGCCCCATGCCCGCACCCTGCCAGACAACAATTTGGCCATATCTGTAAGGCTGAAGATGAGCACACCTAAGGGCTTTACGTCACTTCCAGAGAAGACTCACACACATACACAACAAGAGGCTACAAAGCAATGGGTCATTTCCACACTCTTTCCAGCAGCAAAACTTTTCCGAACCACTTACATGTCCACCAGCAAGAGAACGGATGTATAAGCTAGGTGCTGTTTAAGTAACAGAGCATGGTATCAAATAGTTATATATACTGTATGTTTTGAAATACAAACAGTGATAGATATACACATACATATGTATACACCTGTGTACATATATATCACGATCACAATCATCCTGTTGTTCGTCGATTTCCTCGAGTAGGCCCCAGTAATGTCTCCTTCCCAGCCCTGAGATTTTAAAAGAGCCATTTCAATGCTCTTTCAGGATTAGGAGAATGAGACCCATCATTGCTACAGGTATTTGGCATATTGAGTATGACACGGAAAGTTTGCCAGACTCTGCCGTGTGGGCAGGATACTTTTGGTAGCCTGCCAGGTTCACTCTCTATATAGAGTGCATATATATATATATATATATAGTTGTTAAAATGAGTAATATAATGATTGGAAGTTCATTCATTCAGAGAGCTCTTAGCGTGACAGACGAAGAGTATGATTTCTGCATGCTGGTTCAACCCTGAGCACACCTCTGGAAGAAGACCCCAAGCACTGAGCCCAGAGCACTTCTTGCTCACTACTGGGTAGGGCCCCCCAAACAAACAAATGAACAAACAAAAAAAAACTGAGAGTGACATACAGATCCAGGGCTATGAGAGTGTAAGTTTTATTTTATTTAGTTATTTAGTTTGGGGGCCACACTCAGTGGTGTTCAGGAATTTTTCCTGGCTCTCTCTTAGGTATCACTCCAGGAGTGGCCTTGGGAACCATATAAGGTTCCAGGGATCAAACCCCGGGGCGGCTGCGTGCAAGGCCAGCGAGGGACCTGTTTCACCGTCTCTCCAGCCCCTATATGTTAAAAGTTTACTATGAAAACAATAAACGCTGAAATAAGGCGTATGTGGGAGGCCTGGATCTGGCTTTTAGTGTGCTTGAGGGTTTGGGTCCTTAGGGCAGATTGATGGTGGGTACAGGGCATTGATACATGGGCCTTCTTCTTCTCAAAGGAAACGGGTGATGGATGAAGGCGGTGTGGATGGGTCAGAGGTGCTGAGCGGGGGCACTGAGTGCAGATGGCCGAGAGACTGCTCTGCGTGCGGGGCTGAGATGGGGAGGTTCCCCTGAGAGGATGTGGAAGTGGTTCCATCTATGAAAGAGAATCAAGAGGAGAGGAAGCAGAGGGTCTTCCAAACTATGTCTTGCAAGCAGAGGGGTCTGGCCCTCTTGAGGTGGGGGGTGGTGAGGGGGTGGGAAGGGCAGGCCAGGCTGTGGTGGCTACCTTCGGGATTGCTCCTGGCTGACAGAGCCACGTCCCACGCCCACCTGAGGAGGCCTCGCGTGACACAGAGTCTCAGAAATTGGACTCTCGAGTTATTTTTGACTTCTCTGGAGCCTGGAAAGATTACACACTGCTCTCCTGAGGGCAGGCACTGAGGGAGCTGGCTTGTCCCCGTGGGGGGTGGGAGAGAGAGAGAGAGAGACAGAGAGACAGAGACAGAGAGACAGAGACAGAGAGAGACACACAAAGAGAGAGACAGAGAGAGATTTTTTGCTTATTTATTTTGGGGCCACAAAGTTTACGATGCTAAAATCTCAGAGCTAGGACAAATGGAGACGCTACTGGTGCCCGCTCGAGCAAACTGATGATTAACGGGATGACAGTGCAACAGTGCAGTGTTCTTTTGGGATCACACTCAGCAGTGCAGGAGAGACTGTGGTAGCAAGGATTGAACCCAGGGCTCCGACATGCAAAGCACACGCTCCTTCCCTTGGGGTCATCCCCTGGCCTCCCCCAGGCTGAGGAATCCTACACTAGCAAGACCCCGCGTCCTGCAGCTGGCGGGCCCACCCAGACCTACCTGGGCTCACCCAGAAAGTACTTTTTTTTTTTGTCATTTAGACATTAAGCATCGTTACTCACCAGAATTTATTTTGCTGATGACTGACACAGTCCCTGAAGATTTTCCAGACAACCCAGAACTAGACCAGGGATTCGACGGAATAAAATCCTTGCCGGGATTTGGGAGTATGCCATTTCTTATATTTATTCCTAATAGGAAAGAAATAATGTTACAGTGAAAAAAAAAAAACCACTCACGTTTGACCTGGCTTCAGATTTCAGAGATAAAATTTATGCGGACAGAGCTGGTGCACTAAACCAGAGGAGGAGGAGGAGGAGGAGGAGGAGGAGGAGGAAGAGGAGGAGGAGGAGGAGGAGGAAGAAGAGGAGGAGGAGGAGGAGGAGGAAGCCAGAGAGAGAGAGAGAGAGAGAGTGAGAGAGAGAGAGAGAGAGAGCGCACAGCAGCTAAGGTGCGTGCCTTGCTTGTGGCTACCTTGTCCGACCCTGGGCATCACCTATGGCCAGGAGTGTTTCAGGGGTAAGTCCTGAGGCCACCAGGCTTAGCGCCCACAGTCAAACTCCCACCCAAACCCCTGGCCACCCCCATCTAAAACAAAAACAAAACCCCAACCTCCTAAGTTCACTAACATTGGCTATGGCGGTGACACCTGGCAGTCAGCAGAGGTCAAAATGGTTGCTATTTACTCTTTACAATAGCCAGAAACTGGAAGAAACCTGAATGCCCGAGAACAGATGACTGGTTAAAGAAACTTTGGTACATCTACACAATGGAGTACTATGTAGCTATTAGAAAGGATGAAGTCATGAAATTTACATACAAGTGGTACTACATGGAAAGTATCATGCTAAGCGAAATGAGTCAGAACGAGAGGGATAGACTTAGAAAGATTGCATTCATCTGGGGGATATAAAATAATAAAATATGAGATTAATACCCAAGAATAGCTGAGATCAGCACCAGGAGGATTACTCCGTGGCTTAGAGGCCAGCCGGGCATTCTAGGGGAAAGGGCAGCTCAGATAGAGAAGGGAGCACCAAATAAAGGGTGTTTGGAGGGTCCTCCCAGGAGGGGAGATGCATGTCGAAAGTAGACTATGGACTGAACATGTTTGCCACTCAAAGCCTCTTTTGCAGACCACAACTCCCAAAAGGAGAGAGAGAACACAGGGGATTGCCCTGCCACAGAGGCAGGGTGGGAAGGGGGGATGGGGTGGGGGGATATTATACATGGTGGTGGAAAATGGGCACTGGTGGAGGGATGGGTACTCGATCATTGCAGAACTGAAACCCAAGCACAAAAAATAGTAAATCTACAACTGTACCTCATGGTGTTTCACTAATAAAAAAATAAAAAAAAAACACGGTTGCTGTTTTTGGGTCTAGAAGGTTCTCCCTGGTGGGTCCCCTGAAAATTTGCCAATGGCTCTGCCCACTGTCCTATGTCTTGATCCCTGGGGGGGGGGGCTGTTGAGACTGCGGTGCTCCAGGCTACTCCAGGCTATTCCTGCGGTCCCCCTCACAGACCACGGCCTTTCTGGGACCCTTCTCCCTCCTCCCACCCACCCCACCCCCTGCTGTGAGCCCTTGGAGCCCCGAGAGTCCACCTTCTCCCCTAACCTGGGTCACTGTCCCTGTCACCTGCAGGGCATGCAGCCGCCCTGGAACTATCTGTTTGCCTTGCCCTGACCCTCCCCACTGCCATCGGTGGCATGCCAGCTGTCCTGTCACTTCTTCCTCAGTTCTCTCGCCTCTCCTCCTCCTGGTCATCCTGCAAACCACCGGGCCCCTCTGCCAAGCCCCTCGACCACCATGCCAAGCCTGGCAGGCCATTCTCACCCCCAACCCCAGCCCCCACCTGGACAGCAGCTGCAGCCCACTGATCCCTTGTCCTCTCACACAGAGATGAGGACAAAACCATGACAAGCCTCCGATGAAACCCATAAGAGCTGCCCACCCACTGCTCAGGGCCTCACGGCCAGCTTGGGCCCTGGGAAGAGTCTGAAGGAGTGGGGACAGGTGTCTCGCAGGTGCAAGGCCCCGGCCTCTCTCTTGGGGCTCACGGCTGGTGTTGCCCTGTTGGTGTCCGGGCAGGAGCGCCCAGGTGTCAAGCCCACACCTGCAGGCCAAGTGTCCCGAGCACATCTGGGGGTGTCTCCCCCAACACAATTAAGTGCGGAGATGCCTTGCACACTGAGCTCTGGTCCTGCTGATGTTCCTCCTGCAACAAGCCCTTTCCTGCCCCCGGGCCTCTGCACGGACCGTGCCCTCTGCCCAGCAAGGTGGGCCCTCAGACCTTCCCATCACTGGGGCCCAGCTGGCACTGAGGCCTTCCTGGCCGTCTGAAGCAGACCCTCCTCCCCTCACCCTGTCAGCCTCACTCACCACCACCTACACCATGGTTCAACATTTCCATGGGGTCTGCCTCCCCCGCTGGAATCGATGGTTTGGTGGTCGGTGAGAATCCCGTCTTGCTACCTTGCCACACCATCCATGATAGAACCCAGGGACCCATTTCTTTTTGGGGGGTGGGGTGGGGGACGGCCGCTGGGACACACCTCGAGGTGCTCAGCTCAAGATATTTATTTCTGCTTTGCACTCGGGAATCATTCTCGGTGGTGCTTGGTTTGGGTGGGGACCACATGGGATTCTGGGGCTAGAACCTGGGTCAGCCCACGTGCACGGTAAATGCTGTATCCACCAGCTGCGTGATGGCTCTGGCCCCAGGGGGGCCCGTTTTTACAGCGGTAGGGCGTTTGCCTTGCGCGCAGCCGGCCTGGCCAAGCCAGGTTCGATTCCTCCGCCCCTCTCGGAGAGCCCGGCAAGCTACCGGGAGTATCTCGCCCGCACGGCAGAGCCTGGCAAGCTCCCCGTGACGTATTCGATATGCCAAACACAGTAACAACAAGTCTCACGATGGAGACGTTACTGGGCCCGGTCAAGCAAACTGATGAACGACGGGAGGACAGTGCTACAGTGCTGTGTGTGTGTGTGTGTGTGTGTGTGTGTGTGTGTGTGTGTGTGTAGGGGGATGTTCCAGGGACGTAAAAAGGACTCAAATTGTAGGCCTGGAGTGATAGTACAGCGGGTAGGGCGTTTGCCTTGCACGTGGCCAACCTGGTAGACCTGGGTTCAATTCCTCCGTCCCTCTTAAAGAGCCCGGCAAGCTACCGAGAGTATCTCGCCCGCATGGCAGAGCCTGGCAAGCTCCCCGTGATGTATTCGATATGCCAAACACAGTAACAACAAGTCTCATGATGGAGACATTACTGGGCCCTCTCAAGCAACTCGATGAACAACCGGAGGACAGTGTTTGTTTGTTTGTGTTTGTTTTTTCTTTTTTGATTTTTTTTTTTTGGCTCGGGGCTGACACCTGGCTCTGTGCTCAAGGACCCCTCCGAGTGGCACTCTCGGAATGTGTGCCAGAGATCAAACTTGGGTCGGCCATGCGCAAGGCGAGTGCCTCACCCGATGTCCTATCTCTGCTCCACCACCGCACCCGCCAGCACTGTTCACCGGGACATATCCCCAGTGCCCAGAGTTCTACCTAGACTCAAGACGCATTTACTGAGTGGATGCCTTTGAGCGTGAGTGATCAGTGGGCGGATAAAGCCGCACGACTGGGACCCAGAGATTCTGGAAGAGGCGGCTGCAGAGTTCGTCCCTGACCCCCGGGGCACTGCCGGGCGTGAGATTCAGCACCCACTCTGGCTCCCAGGAGCCTGCAGAACGTCTGTTTCTCTCGAACCGGGTCTGGCACGGACCTCACAGCGTAGCTCTCAGCTCTGCTGCCCTGGCCAGGGGCGAGACCCACGTTCTTCGGGCCCCTGTCTTTCTTGCCTTAGCCAACGATGCAAGACTGAACGTCAAGCCTAAGCACCGGGCAGAGCTGACCCGGCTGCATCCTCCAGTCTGAAGGGATTCCCTCGGCCCCAGGCCCCCTGCACTTGCTGGCGAAAACCGAATCCTGGAGAGAAAGCAACAGATGCTCGGGAAAGGACCATCGCGGGTGACAGCCCAGGCAAGGAAGCGTCTCAATTACCAGGCAAGTAGCGGGAGTGCTTCAAGTAGTGCTGCTTGGCCGTGGATCTCAGGGTGGGCGTGTCTCGCCTCTGGTAGGAAGTCTGGGATGGGGCGCTGTTTCCCGCACCCACGGGCTCCGGGGGCTTCAGGTCCAGAACACTTTCGAATCTGGGAGGGAGAGAGTGGGGCACGGAGAGGCTTAGGTGCGGGGGGGTAGGGGGGACAGCAGGCACCCCAGGGTCCCGGGGAGTTGGGGGAGAGGAGCCTCACACTTGCCTGCAGAGCGCCTCGTCCGTCGGCCGCTTCTTGTTCTTCACATCAATCCTGGTGAACGACGGGCTGAAATCCAAGTCATCCAGGTCGGCCCAGTCGTCGGAATCCTTGGTGGACCGGGACATGAGACCCCACCGCCTCCGGCTCTTTGGTTTGACCTCACCGTTTTTGTGCTCCAGGCCAGTTAGGATTTTCTGCGCCTAACGAGAGGGGTGTGTGTTTAGAGGGATTCTTTCTCTTTCTTTCTTTCTTTCTTTCTTTCTTTCTTTCTTTCTTTCTTTCTTTCTGTTTTTTTGGTCACACAGGGGTTACTCCTGGCTCTGCACTCAGGAATCACTCCTGGTGGTGCTCAGGGAACCATCTGGGATGCTGGGAATCGAACCCGGGTCGGCCGCATGCAAGGCAAACGCCCTACCCGCTGTGCTATTGCTCCAGCCCCTTCTTTCTTTCTTTCTTTCTTTCTTTCTTTCTTTCTTTCTTTCCTTCTTTCTTTCTGTTTTTTTTTGGTCACACCTGGCGATGCAACAGGGGTTCCTCCTGGCTCATGCACTCAGGAATCACTCCTGGCGGTGCTCAGGGGACCCTATGGGATGCTGGGAATCGAACCCGGGTTGGCCGCGTCCAAGGCAAATGCCCTACCCGCTGTGCTATTGCTCCAGCCCCTACTTTCTTTCTTTCTTTCTTTCTTTCTTTCTTTCTTTCTTTCTTTCTTTCTACAAAGGAAAAAGCCCACTTGTTTTCTTTTTGTTTTTTTTGGTTTGTTTTGGCTTTTTGGGTCACACCCGGCGATGCACAGGGGTTACTCCTGGCTCATGCACTCAGGAATTACTCCTGGCAGTGCTCAGGGAACCATCTGGGATGCTGGGAATTGAACCCGGGTTGGCCGCATGCAAGGCAAATGCCCCACCCGCTGTGCCCCAAAAGCCCACTCGTTTTATTTTCATGTTTTACATCTTGGATTTTTGGCCACACCTGGTAGTAGTTCGAGGCTATTCCCAATTTCTTAAAAAAAGTTTTTTTATTTTATAAAGTAGTTCACAATACTTGATTACATTTAATATTCAAACACCAATCCCACCACCATTACACCTTCCCACCCCCAAATTTGGGATGTTTCCCTATCTCAAGCCCTGATCCCTGTCCCAAAGCACAACCGAAATAATGTATTTTGTATTGTCTGTTATGAAGCACCGCTGAAAATGCTCACAAAAAAGCATTCATATGGGAAACAGTGTGAAGATTGTTCTATTTTGGCAGGGGCCATTAAGATTCTTTAGAATATCACTAACATGTTGTTAAAGGTTGAATGATGTGAGCTTTTGTATATATAAACACATATGAAAATATATATATATATATAGATATTTCCTCTATGGGCTGGAGCAATAGCACAGCCGGTAGGGCGTTTGCCTTGCAAGCAGCCAACATGGCCGACCCGAGTTCGATTCCTCCGCCCCTCTCGGAGAGCCCGGCAAGCTACCGAGAGGATCTCGCCCGCACGGCAGAGCCTGGCAAGCTCCCCGTGACGTATTCGATATGCCAAACACAGGAACAACAAAGTCTCCAATGGAGACATTACTGGGCCCGCTCGAGCAAATCGATGAACAATGGGAGGACAGTAACAGTGACAGTTTCTTTGTGGGGGTGGGGGGGAGGGATCTTGGGCTCCTACTCAGTGATGCTCAGGGCTTACCCCTGACTCTGTGCTCAAGGATAACTCCTAGTGGGGCTCTGGGAGCCATCCATATATGCATTGCCCAGTCCAAACATGATTCTGCTAGTTGCCAGGTAAGTACTTCACCTGCTGTACTATCTCTCTTGCCCAAGTAGTGCTGTTCTTTTTTTTCTTTTTCCCTTTCTTTTTTTGGAGGAATGGGTGGCTGGGGGGGGGGGGGAGGAATTGGGGTATGCCTGGTGGTGCTCAGGATTACGCTCTGAACTTAAGGATCACTCCTGGCAGGCTCAGGAAGACCAGATGACATGCCAGGAATGGAACTGGGTGAGGTTGGCTGACTGCAAGTGTCCTCCCTACTGTATTATCGTTATGGCCCCAAGGTGGCACCATTCTTGGTAAACTGTAGCAGGTAAACTGTCCTCCCGTTGTTCATGGATTTGCTCAAGCAGGCACCAGTAACGTCTCCATTGTGAGACTTGTTGTGACTGTGTTTGGCATCTTGAATACGCCACGGGGAGCTTGCCAGGCTCTGCCGTGCGGGCGGGATACTCTCGGTAGCTTGCCAGGCTCTCCGAGAAGGATGGAGGAACCGAACCCCGGTTGGTCGCGTGCAAAGGCAAAGGCCCTACCCCAACTGCTGTGCTATCGCTCCAGCCCTCTTAGTAAACAGGACCCAGCTTTGTGAACTAAAACAGAACCCGTGAAGCCCTAGGTTGAAGTCCTTTTCACAGTGCCCTAACACTGCCAAGACAAACCTGGAGTTAACTGGACTGGACGTGCAGAAGAGAAAAGATTGCAGGTGATAAGCAAATATTGCCTTTACGCAAAGGGCACGAGGCCGGCCTGGGGCCCACCGGCTTACTCATCTTCTCTGCTTACCAAATGAGGGTTCTGGGCATGCAGGGACGGGAAGAGCAGCGGGCTGGGCTTGTCCTCGGGAGCGTGGACCGGGTGGCCCGTCCCGGGGGCCTCCGCTTTGTAGGCGTAGGAGAGATGCTGCCGGACAGGAAGCCGCACCTGAGGTTTGGTGGGGGGCTGGGCCGGGGGGACGGGCTTGACGTGAGCAGGCAGGCCCGTTTTTTCCAGGAGGTCCTTCTGCGTCTTTCCTGGGTCCTCGACTGTCTGGGTGATGCTGCCCAGTGGGTGCCTGATGTGGAAGTAGGGATAGCGAAGAGCCTGGAAGAACACATGCGGCCACTTGAGAAACGTCCAGCTGGGAGGGCTGACCCCAGGACACCAGCCAGGGTCACTGGGAGATCAGCTGGCTGCAGTTTCTGCAGTTGCCAACCGGCAACATCATCCTGACTGTGCAGTTTAAGTCTTCGGACTTTCCTGACCTAAGATACTTGCAGGATGTATGTACTGGGTTACGAGAATTCAAATGATCTGGATGAGCTTGCTGGTTACACGGCTGCCTTTGCTGTTTCCCTCGGGTTCAACACAGATCTCTTGCCTGGTAACTGACCTGCACTACGACTGAAACTTTGAGATTTTTACCGTTCTTGTTGTGTTTTGAGTTTGTCTGGCAATCTCCCCGTGGTGTACCCAATATGCCAAATACCAGTAACAAGGTTGGGTCTCACTCTTCTAACCCTGAAAGAGCCTTGAATATGGCACTTTTTAAAATCTCAGGGTTAGGACGAAGGAGACGTTATTGGGGCCTGCTCGAGGCAATCGACGAACAACAGGATGGTCGTGATTGTTTTTGTGTTTGCCTTCTAGTTTGGGGGCCACACCAGATGGTACTCAGGGGTTCCAGTGCTTGGGGATCCCTTTTGGTGGGCGTCAGGGGAGGATGCAGTGCTGGGAACGGAACTTTGGGTTACCGCATGCAAAACCTGTACACTAGCACTCTGAGCTATCTCTCTGGACCAGGTTTTTTCTTTTTTCTGCTTTTTTTTTCCTTTTTGGGTCACACCCAGCAATGCTCAGGGGTTATTCCTGGCTTTGCACTCAGGAATTACTCCTGGCAGTGCTTGGGGGACCACAGGGGATGCTGGGGGATCGAACCCGGACCGGCTGTGTGCAAGGCAAACGCCCTACCTGCTGTACTATCGCTCCGGCCCACTTATTTTTTTTTTAAATCTTTCTAAGTCCATTTCTTCATTCCATAGAAGAGAAAAATAGTCACATAAAGCAAAGAGAGCTAAACGCAATAATTCTGGAGGACTCTGAAGAATCAAGTATAAAATAAGAAGGTCCATCCAAAGTTACCCCAGGATTGCTACCTAACACATGACAGAGTTAACCCCCAGGACTTCCACACCCCTCAGGGGTGCGTTTTAGTCTGTCCAAGTGGCTTAGGAAGGGGTGACTGGGAACCAACAGCAGGTGTAGAGTCAAAGTATCTTCCATCCGCAGAACAGACTAGGGCTGGCTGAATTCTGGTTTCTGGATGAGCATGAAGCTACACTAGAGCATCTGGAGGCAGCAAAGTGCTATCCAGCACTACTCATGGTAGATTCCCTCACTCTGCCCTGCCTGTGTCTCTGTATCTCTACGACACAGAGACCCATAAAAGGAGCATTTTATGGGACAGTTTCAAATTGCCTTTCAACCAACAGAAATGTCTTACAGACTGCTTTATAATCTCGACCCATAGAGAAAAAAATTGGAAAGCACTCTCCAAAGAGCCATAGATGGCTCTGCTAAATTTCATTTCCACATACTGTGTCTACAGCGATGGGTATCGAGTGAACTGCATGCTCGTCTTAAAAGCAACTACACTATTTAAATCTTAATAATTTTATTATATATACACCATTTTAAACTATCTTTTTTCTGTAGGTGGGGGTGGGGTGGAGGAGGTGTCTCCCAAGCAGTGCTCAGGAAGCCCCTCCTGGGAGTTCTTGGCCAGTGGCTGGTGGTTCAAAGCTGCCTTGGGATCCAGTGTTGCTCACGTACTGTGGTGCTGGCGTTTGCCTAGGTGGCCATGGCATTGGCCAAGACTTCCAGGGCTGTACCTGGCAATATCTGGAGAACCATGTAGTGCCATGGACTGAGTCGGGGTGGGCTGCATGCAAGGTATGTGTCTCAATCCCTACACTCCCTCTCCGCTGCACCTAACAATGTTTGGCGAGCCTTATAGAGCTAGGAATGAATTAGGGTGGGCTGTGTGCAAGGTATGTGTCTCGATCTCTGCACTTTCTCCGGCCCCTTCCATCCTTTTCCCTTACACAGCACAGCATTCGTGGTACTCAACACTACTTCCATCCATCAGGCCGACTGAAATATGCCCCTGTGAGATTTCTAGGACTTCCTCAGCATGCGAGATAAAGTAGGAGGAGGAAGAAGACCTGACTCGCTGTTGGCCGTTTCTTGGGGTCCCACTGGAGCATGTCTCTCAGCAGCTGGACGGCTTCACTGCTGGCGTTCGGAATCAGGGTCTTCAGGTTACTGGGGACGCACTGGGGCCAGCGGAAGTTCATAACACTGGACAGCTGATAGCCTTCAGGCCAGTCCGTCTGAAAGAAGAAAACGAGAAAATTTGAGCTCTGCCTTCTTTGTGACCAGGGGTTCAGTTTCCGGTAAGTTAGCAGCAACGGTGTCACGACTGTGTCCACATTCAACTGCCGAGACCTAGGAGAGTGTGAGTCAAGAATGCAGCTTTGGGGAAGATCAGAAATGACACTGGTCTTGCTACCAACTACTTTGATGAATTGAACAATACAGTTCGTTTCCTGAGACCTGAATCGAATCAGCATCTTCCCAGTGATATTGCACAGAGCAGAGATCTTAAGTCATTGCTTCTCTGACAGCATGTGCGCTGACTCAAAGTGACCCCATAACTGGATAGTTCTCAATCTGGAATAGCAAGACAACGTCATAAACATTTTTTTTTGTCTTTTGCTTGTTTTAGGGCCACAACCAGCGGTGCTCTGGGCTTACGCCTGGCTCTGAGCTCAGGGATCACTCTTGGTAGGGTTGTGGGATCAGACGGAGTGCTGGGGATCAAACTAGGTTGGCAACCAGCAAGGCAAGCACCCTACCCACTGTGTCATCTCTCTGGCCAAACACATATTCCTTTCACTGAAGGCAGGGCATATCTCATTCTAACTGAGCATCAGCACCTTCTGAAGGCCTCCATGAAACTCAGCCCCTCACACAGAGATACCTCAGAGGGGGACAGAGTGATAGCACAGTGGGGAGGGTGTTTGCCTTGCGCGTGGCCGACCCGGGTTCGATTCCATCCCATATGGTCCCCTGAGCACCGCCAGGAGTTATTCCTGAGTCCAAAGCCAGGTGTGACCCAAAAAGCAAATAATAAAGAGACAAAAAAAAAAAGATGTCCCAGAGCTAGGAAGGACTGAGAGTATCCAATCTCTGGCTACCTCTTCTGAATTCCCGCTCCTGCCCTCAAGAGCCGAGGCTTGGGAAACTGCTGACGAGGTCATCTGGGAGGAGGAATAACACAAAACACCTTGTTTCAAGTCAAAAAAGCACCTGCTACACAAACCATGTACTCATCTTAGTGATTCCAAGTACTCAGAAGTGGGCAGGGCAGGAAAGGCTGCTGCTCTCTGTATTCTCAGAATCTGTCAATATTTATCTATTTTTTCTTGGGTTCGGGGGGCCACACCTGGTTGTGCCCAGGGTTCCTCCTGGTCTGTGCTCAGAAGTCACTCTGGGTGGGTGGTGCTCAGGGGGTCTTACGGTGTGGAGGATCGAAGTAGGGTTGGCCTCATGCAAGGCAGGTGAGGTCACACTGACCCCCGGCTCTCTCCTTGATGTTTCCCTGCGTCACATCCCTCACTGATGTGCAGTGAGGGACACCATTAAATGATGCGGTGAATTTAACGGACATTTGGTATCCCATAAAATTAATCAATTGTCTTTAAGGTCCCTTCTAGTTCCAGCATTCTACTGTTTTTATAAGACATGAAACTGCCTTTTTCCCCTCCTTTCTTAAAGTGAAATGATACTATATATATATATATATATAGATAGATAGAGAGATTATTCATTCACTTAATTAATAAGCCCCTCTGCTTAGTGTTGTTGGGTATCCAAAGATGATCCAGTTCAACCTGTGCCCTAGAGATACTGTCATCCAAAACAGAAAATAGCTATTCATTGGCAAACACAATGACAGACAGGGCGAAATGACAATGGTTATAAAAGAGGGCAGATACGGGTGACGCAAGGAGGGAGCGATTCCAGCAGGGACTCTGGAACTCTTTCTGAAGAGAAGGCGTCAATGATTGGTTCACTCTGACCCAAAAAGACTGTGAGTACAGTGGCCACTCCCAATGCTATTGGCGAAACCATGTGGTGACAGGGATTGAATTTAGGGCCTCGACACTTGAGCCACATCTCAAGCCTGGTTTCAAACGTTCTTTCTTTTTTTTCTTTTTGGGTCACACCCAGCGATGCTCAGGGGTTCCTCCTGGCTCTGCACTCAGGAATTACCCCTGGCGGTGCTCAGGGGACCCTATGGGATACTGGAAATTGAACCCGGGTCGGCCGTGTGCAAGGAAAACGCCCTCCCCGCTGTGCTATTGCTCCAGCCCCTCAAACGTTCTTGAATGTCTGATGCTTGTCAGTAAGGATGCCAGCACCTCGAAAAGCAAGCACAGGGAAACACATGACCAATCCTTGCCCCGAGGGAGCAGCTAAGCCAGAAACAGATGTGCAGTGATTTGTGTTTCCGATTCCCAGATCACAGTTGCAGAAGTGGAGAAGATCAGAGGAACAGGGAGGAGAGAAATGACTGAAGGGTCGGAGGCAGAATCCTGCCTCGAGAGACAGGCGTTCTGATGCAGCACATCCACACCCTGTGTCCTGGGGAGATGCCAGGACACAGAGCCAGGAGGGGTACTAAGTGGGGGGCCCAGGGGGACAGGCAACGGGAGCTGTTCTTTAAGAGGATGAGTCTGGCAGCAGCCTGAAAAGGACAGGACTGGCAGGGAAGACTCAAAGGCAGAACAAGGGAGACAATTCCCTCGGGCAGGGGCCAGCAGGGCACAGGCAGTGGACCACTAGAGTCGCAGGCCTGGGGCTAGAGCGACAGCACAACGGGTAGGGCGTTTGCCTTGCACACAGTCGACCCGGGTTCAGTTCCTTGAATTGAGCTTATGTGGCACTAGACGCAGTTCATGGGTGTGACTGCCAGGCTCCCGGAAGATAGGGTCACCTCCTATCCTGGAGATTTCGGTGAGAGCCTGGAAATTTCGGTCCTACCAAAATCACAATTCAATTGCCAGGGGTAATTCCTGAGCGCAGGGCTGGAGCAATAGTACAGCGGGTAGGGCATTTGCCTTGCACGCGGCCAACCCGGGTTCGATTCCCAGCATCCCATAGGGTCCCCTGAGCATTGCCGGGTGTGACCCAAAAAGCAAAAAAAAAAAAATCCTGAGCGCAGAGCCAGGAGTCACCCCTGTGCATCGCCAGGTGTGACCCAAAAAAGAAAGAAAGAAAGAAAGAAAAAAGAGTCCCAGGCTATGTGTGAGCTGCTTAGCTGGAGAGGCTGTGGGCTGCAGGGCTCTGATGCTTGGAGAGGGGTGACGGACAACAGAGAGCCTCCGGGCTGGGGCTCTGGGGGCCTGTGAGGATCCCCGGCCAGGACAGAAATGGGGAAGGAACGAAAAGAGCCAGAGGGGGAGTAAAACAAAAGCTGTCAGTAGTGTCAGAGCAGCTGAGACTGAGGTGACGGAAGAGAGCGGGAGGAACTCTCGCCAAGTACAAGCCTGCGAACGAACTCTGCAGGCGGCAGGGCTACCCTGAGAGCTCGGAGACCTCCGAACACTGGCAAAGTTGGGGCCGACCTTGAGGGCGCGGAAACTGGGCATGGGCTGGGGATAGTACAGAGGCAAAAAGAAGAAAGATCCTCAGCAAAATTATCTCTTTGTCGTTTCAGGGCAAGGAGGAAGATACATGAGGCAGGGATCTGGGAATACTCCCAGCACAGTGCTCAGGGGGCTATGTGGTACTAGGGGTTGAACCTGGGCCCCCTGTAATGCGAGCATCAGCTCAGTCGGGCCCTCGGCGACTATGAAGATGGAAAGAAGGACAAAAGCCGATTGGTCTGCAAACAGAAGCCGGGAGGGATTTCTTGAGTCCAGGGAGATTCCACTAAAATTCGAAATATGGTGGTGGGGCTGTTGTAATGGTGGTAGGACTGGTGTTGGAACATTAATGTAATAAATCATCGTGTACAACTTTATAAAAATGGAATGAAATTAGAAAATGTATTCCATTGCCGAAAAACTCAGGTGTGCGGGTTTTGTGACCGAAATTTCTAGGCTCTCACCGGAATCTCCAGGATAGGAGGCGACCCCATCTTCCGGGAGCCTGGCGGTCACACCCATGAACTGCCTCTGGTGCCACATAAGCTCACTAGCCAGTCATGATTCAGAGACTCAAAATAAATCTCGAAAGAGATCAGCTAGCTGCAGAGATGCTTCCGGACAACAAAGTCACCATCCCAGTCAAAATGGTAACTCCAACTGCATCACCCCATTCAGCAACGTCTCATTCTGTACATCACTGATAAACCAGAAGTAGCACGCCACTTTGGATAGGATGTAAAGTAGAAAGCAACCAATCTTGATTAAGAAAATATTAACACAGAAGGGCTAAGGGCTGGAGCGATAGCACAGCGGGAAGGGTGTTTGCCTTGCACGCGGCCGACCCGGGTTCAATGCCCAACATCCCATATGGTCCCCCGAGAAGAAGCACCAGGAGTAATTATTGAGTGCAGAGCCAGGAGTAACCCCTGAGCATCGCTGGGTGTGACCCGAAAAGAAAAAACAAACACATAAGAGTTAACTGGTAACAACATGTTAGTAATCTCTTCTAAAAGGTAAGGTAAAGGCCCTCCCGTTGTTCGTCGATTTGCTCGAGCGGGCCCAGTAACGTCTCCATTGGAGACTTTGTTGTTACTGTGTCTGGCATGTCGAATACTCTCGGTAGCTTGCCGGGCTCTCCGAGAGGGGCGGAGGAATCGAACTCGGGTCGGCCATGTTGGCCGCTTGTAAGGCGAACGCCCTACCGCTGTCCTATCGCTCCAGCCCCAAGGGTTTAATGGCTCCATGGTGAGATAAAACAATCTTCACACACTTTCTTCTAAAGAAATCTTTTTGATCATTTTTACCGAATTATTCATAACAAGCAACACAAAACAAATCACTTAGGACCTGCTACTGGGGCAGATTTGGGTGGTGGTTGGGGAAATTGAAAATAATGGTGGTGAGTGGGAGGGATACTGGGATCGGTGGGGGTGGAGAATGGGCACTGGTGGTGGGATGGGTCCTCGATCATTGTAAAACTGAAACCCAAGCACAACAACTTGTAAGTCTACAACTGTACCTCATGGTGTTTCACTAATAAAACAAACAAACAAAAAAAGAAGATAATCGTGGTGGGAAGGTGTAATGGTGGTGGAATTGTTATTGGAACTTTATACTGTCACTGTCACTGTCCTCCCGTTGTTCATCGATTTTCTCGAGCGGGCTCAGTAACGTCTCCATTGTGACACTTGTTACTGTGTCTGGCATATCGAATATGTCACGGGGAGCTTGCCAGGCTTTGCCGTGCGGGCGAGATACTCTCAGTAGCTTGCTGGGCTCTCTGAGAGGGGCGGAGGAATCGAGCAACTTTATACAAATAAATTTAAAAAAAGAGGGAGATTTCAGAAGGGGTGGGTGATCGTTAGCTGGAGCTGTGCGAAGCAGGGGGATGCAGCTGGCTTTGGCCCTTATTGGCTCCACAAAGTTACCTTTTTCGGGGTTCCCAACACTTGGCAGATTTTGAAGATCGTGTCAATTTCGCTGGCTCCAGGGAAGAGAGGCCTGAGGGTGTACACTTCAGCCATGATGCAGCCAACGGCCCAGATATCAATGGGGGAGCTGTAGTTGGTAGACCTCAGGAGCACTTCCGGAGCCCGGTACCTGGAGGGGCAAGGGTGGCCGCGAGTTACCGCTTCGACTGGCAGAAATCAAGTCAAATAACACAGCCGACTCGCAGGAAGAGAGTTCACATCTTTCTGTGCTGTCTCTAGCTTGGCACCATAAGCACATTTGCAAAGACGCGGCGAAATTGCTGTCGCTGATGGAAGACAGCCCTTCACGAGTTCGCAATGTTTTCTACTGAAGATTTCTCTAGGTCAGAAACTTTTCTTTTTCCCTTTGCAAACGAATCATGAATCACAAATCGCGACCATCCTGTTAATCGTCGACGGCCTCGAGCAGGCCCCAGTAACGTCTCCTTCATCCTAGCCCTGAGATTATATTCAAGGCTCTTTAGGAGAATGACCCATCATTGTTACTGGTATTTAGGAGACCCATCATTGTTACTGGTATTTGGCATATTGGGTACGCCACGGGGAGTTTGCCAGACTCTGCCCTGTGGGCAGGCTACATTCGGTAACCTGCCAGTCTGTCCAAAGTAAAGTAAGTAAAGGTAAAGGCCCTCCCGTTGATCGTCGATTTGCTCGAGCGGGCCCAGTAACGTCTCCATTGGAGACTTTGTTGTTACTGTGTCTGGCATATCGAATACTCTCGGTAGCTTGCCGGGCTCTCTGAGAGGGGCGGAGGAATCGAACTCGGGTCGGCCATGTTGGCTGCGTGCAAGGCAGACGCCCTACCCGCTGTGCTATCGCTCCAGCCCTGTCCAAAGTAGGAATGAGATAATAAGATGTCATAACATGTTTGAGAAACACAGAAGTGTGTGCAACAGCAACAGAGAGGGGGGCTGCGGAGAGCATGAGAAGGGGAGAGAGAGAAGGAGGGAGGAAGAGAGAGAGAGAGAGAGAGGTTTGAAAAGGTAAAGAGAAGGGCTGGACAGACAGTACAGTGGCTTGTGTGTTCCTGTCACGGGTTTGATCCCCAGCACTGCCGGGAGTGATCCCTGAGGAAGAGTAAGCCCTCAGCACAGTTAGGTGTGGCCCCAAGCTCAAAAATAAATAAATAAAATTAAAAAGGAGAGAAAGAATAAAGTTTCTTGTCTATAGGCTGGTTTTTTTGGGGGGGGGGGTCACGCCCGGCAATGCACAGGGGTTCCTCCTGGCTCTGCACTCAGGAATTACTCCTGGCGATATACTCAGGGGACCATATGGGATGCTGGGAATCGAACCCGGGTTGGCCGCGTGCAAGGCAAATGCCCTACCTGCTGTGCTATTGCTCCAGTCCTAGGCTGTTTTTTTTTTTTTTTTTTGGTCATAGGCAACTACTTCAATCAAATTGTTGAGATCTGAAAGTTTGTTATTTTTTTTTTTGCCACACCTCTGCAGTGTTCTGGGGCACCATGTTGGTGGAGATGGGTCCATGGGATCGAGGGCAGGACCCATGGGTGCAGGGCACCCACCTGGGGCTTCTGCATGCAGGTAAAACCTGTGCTCCCTTTCCTTCCAGCCATTTTTCTGACTCTCAAGCTTTGACAATACAATCAACTAGGTTTTTAGGTCTTGGGTGAAACTTTTACACAACTAAAATGGAAGTACTTTTTAGGACTATCTGTATATAAAATATACTTACGTTATGGAAAAGCAAAATGGACTTATTTTTCATTTGATTCTGGGTTTTGGGGTCACACCCAGAAGTGCTCAGGGCTTACTCCTGACTCTGTACTCTGGGATCATTCCTGGTATTCAAGGGACCATCGGCAGTTTCGGGGGTAGATCCAGAATTGGCCCTGTGCAAGGCGAGTGCTTTACCCCAGTACTATCTCTCTGATCCCCTGGGAAATAGCTTAAAATACAGCTTTTAACTTTGTACAATGCTAACTTCCCTCCAAACCTGTGTCTCAAACAACTGTTTCTCTTAGTGAAAATTTCTCTTGGTATTCATGATAGCAACATTACCCTCTCAGTATAATGGCTATTTTTCCTCCCAAAAACAGATATAATTAAATAATTTAAAGGAGACAGTAGTCACCATCGGGTGGATACATAGTCTGTGTACGGAGGTCTTGATCGGATCTCTCGAGCCAATCCAAAGTCGGCGATCTTTATTAGCTCTGGTCCCATGCAGAGGAGGTTCTCAGGCTTTAGGTCCCGATGGAAGAAGCCTGCAGGGCCAGGGAGAAAAAGTGTGCATGTCAGCCCGTGTTGGCAATTCTCTCTGCAGCCAAGCTGCCCTTTGCCTGACAGCTATCCTCGGATAAGCCCTGTGCACGCCGCTTTCCCTTTGATGAAGTAAAAAAAGTGCAGGATCACTCAAAAGTAGATCTTCAGAATTTCCTTTTCCAAGAGAGACACTTCTCTTATTTATTTATTTAATCTATTCATTTGCGGGGCGGGGGTGGGAGAGACACACCTGGCTATGTGCAGGGCTTCTTTCTAGGACCGTACTCAGGGTTCAGTCTTGGCAGGGCTCAGGAGACCACATGAGGTGCCAGGGAGGTAACCCGAGGTTTTGCAAAGCAATCGCCTTACCCACTATACTCTCTCTTTGGCGACTCTATATAAAAAGATTCTAAGGGCTGGAGTGATAGTCCAGCGGGTAAGGCACTTGAGTACTGCGGGAATGATCCCCGAATGAAGCGCCAGGAGTCAGCCTGAGCACCACTGGGTGTGGCCTCCCTAAATTTCTCTAATGATGTCTTTTACAGAGGCACCCCAATTTACAAAGATGCCCACACCAGTGTTTCAGACCTACAGTGTTTCAACTCCAATCCCATCACCAGTGTCAATATTCTTCCTTCCACAATGTCCCCGAGTTCCTTCCCACTGAGCCTGCCTCCTTTTTCTTTTTGGTTTGTTTTGGGGGACACACCCAACACTGCTTAGCGGTTGCTCCCGGCTCTGCGCTCAGGAACTAATCCTGGCAGTGGGATCCCCAGGACTGAACCTGGGTAGACCACACGCAAGGCAAGTGACTTTGCCCACTGTCTTGTCTCTCTGGCCCCAGCCTGTCTCCTTGACAGGCATACTAAGAAAACTCCTTTTTAAATGCCTAGTGTCGGTTCTTGTCTTAAGATAACTAGGGAAGAAGGATGTCACCCAAGGAAGAGAGATCATGTCCAGCCAAGTCAGCCAGAGGAATGCAAGATCTGCACCATTTCAAGAGGGTGTTCAGGGGCATCCGCTTTGTCACAGTTTCACTTTCTTAGTTATCTCCAAGATACTTTCAGAAGGCCCACAATCATGTAACATTTATCATGAACAAAGTTATATATTATTATTATTATTATTTTCTGGGTGGCAGCGGGAATGGGGCCCAGGTGTTCTACATTCAAGACATATGTCTGCCACTGAATCACATCCCCAGTCCATCCGGTTTTGTTTTTAACCTCTTCCTGTGCCGAATTTATACATCAAACTCTTACATGCGTGGATAACTAGAAAAAGGTAGTCGGAGTGGAGGCCGGCACTCTCCCCAGTGTCGGCCGTCCCCGGGGGGTGAAAGGGGGGGGGTTGAACATATATCCCCTGAGATAACAGAGAATCACCATCACCTCAGGGGCACTGACAGCCCACACCAGAGCAGAAACAATTACAAACGGGTGCTTAAGAAACAAGGGGTGGCCTTCAAGTCATGGAGCAAAATTCCTGGTACTAATAACTGAAACCCAAGCCCAGAAATTTATAAGTCTATAACTGTACCTCATGGTGTTTCAGAAATTAAAAAAAAAAAAAGAAACAAGGGGTGTGGGGCTGGAGCGATAGCACAGCGGGTAGGGCATTTGCCCTGCACGCGGCCGACCCGGGTTCGATTCCCAGCATCCCATATGGTCCCCTGAGCACCGCCAGGGATAATTCCTGAGTGCAGAGCCAGGAGGAACCCCTGAGCATCGCCGAGTGTGACCCAAAAAGCAAAAAAAAAAAAAAAAAAAAAAAAAACAAGGGGTGTGAGCACAGCATGGTACTACTCCAAGGCCTCCAGCAGTGTTGCATAGAAGGTCTCTGAGCAGTGCTGGGCTGGCCTTGGTAATCCTGACACCAAACAGCACCATATCCTCAGTTCTTGCATGAAACTGCCGGCCTCGTTGGCCAAGAATCACAATGAGGGGCCTGCGAGTTGCCCGAGCATTGCTTGGCAATCATTCTCCTGCAGACCCCCAACAAAAAATGAAACAAGATATGGGCTCAGGGACAAGTCTCAGTGATAAGAGGGCATGCCTACCATATGACGGACCCTGAGTTTGATACAAGACTATTCTCTTTCTGTTTATAGGTCCCACCCAGCGGTGCTCAAGGCTGATTCCTCACTCTGGCCGTGCCTGGGGAACCATATGTCGTGCCAGGGAATGGAACCTGGGTCGGCTGCATGCAACGCAAGCTTTTACCCCTGGAGGGTCTCTCTGGCCTCAAGATTATTTTCTTTCAAAGTGAAGAAACGAGATTTCTGAAGATGATTCATATCTAAAATTCTGGTGGTGTGTGTTTGCCACTAAGGTTTAACTGTTAGGTGCTTACTGCTTTGCCTAAGGAAGAAGTAAAGAAGAATATCTGTAGCTCATATAGTGAAATGCAAAGAAAACGCATCTGACGGATGGGAAGCCCGCCTTGGCTTCAGCAGAGCTCTGGGATGCATGCAGGAGACAATTAACACGCCAACCCTCCGAGGGCAATCAGTGGGGTGCACGCAGGAAGCAATTAGCACGCCAACCCTCCGAGGGCACCCAGACCACCACCAGTCAGTGATCAATGCCTCTGAAAGTTCACACCTCCCACTCACGCGTGTGGAGAGTTCCCTTGGGTCTCCATCCCAGTGGGATGCCCAAAGAGGGTCTGCGCTGCCATGCCATTAAGTCCTGACTCTCTGACTCAAATGGAGACTCCAAATTTAGGGTTCTCTTCTGTTCCTGTCCAGATTGGTGCCGTATTCTCGTCCCGGAGACCCTTGTCCAAGCAAGGTAGGCTAACGCTGATCATTTCCAAACATACATGGCCTCGCTTTCATAAAAGTCATTGTCCTCCGATCCTCCGTCCCCAGCAGTGACTCCCTCTGCCATTATGTGTAATGCCCACTTCAAGAAATGGGCATCTAAAAGAAAACTGCCTGCCATAGAGACGGGGGTGGGGCGGAGTGGGGGTGGGGTGATAGGGAGACTGGAAACGTTGGTGGTGAGACATGTACACTGGGGGAGGGATGGGTGTTTGATCATTGTCTCACTGAAACTCAGTCATGAAAGCTTTGTACCTGTGTCTCACGGTGATTCAATAAAAAACGAATAATAATTAAAAAAAAGAGAAATGGGCATCTTCTCCCTGCTCCCACACGCAGTGCTGCCACATCAGTTCATACTCAGAAGTGAGCTGTGTTCTTGCACTCAAGTCCTGGCATCTCACGTCTCTCTTGCAATGTGATTCTTGCTTCCACCACTTCCTCTCCTCTGCCTATCCCTCCCCTCACTAAGTCTTTGCTAAGCCACTGCCACAGAGCACTGGGGCACTCAGGAATGAGAAGAATAAACATCCTGATTCCCCACGTATCTCTCTATGCATTTTCCCTTCCTACAGATTATGCTTCAGGCCCCCAACATACCATCAGAGGGAAAATGGCTAGGATGAAAATCAAATATACACAAGTTCTTTTTTTTTTTTTTTTTGCTTTTTGGGTCACACCCTATGATGCACAGAGGTTATTCCTGGCTCTTCACTCAGGAATTACTCCTGGTGGTGCTCGGGGGACCATATGGGATGCTGGGAATCAAACCTGGGTCAGCCGCGTGCAAGGCAAACGCCCTACCCGCTGTGCTATCGCTTCAGCCCCAAATATACACAAATTCTTAAACGTGAGTGGAGAGGACTCAGAGAGATTGTACAGGAGTCAAGGCATTTGCCATGCACATGGCAGACCCTGGTTGAATCCCTGGCACTGCCTAAGGTCCCCCTAGCACTGCCAGGAGTGATCATTGAGAACAGAAGTAGGTGTAACTCCTTAGCACTGCTAGCTGTGCCCCAGGACTTCCCCCCCACCGGACCTCACAAAAAATAAAAATAAAAAACCACCAAAACCAAACAAACAATTCAGTTGGATATATAGGGAGACACACTTTCTGTCATGGAACCAGGGACACCTTTGTCCGCAGTCCCATGGAGAAGGCCTTGGCTCTATTAACACTGCTGCAACTTTCTGAAAGCCCCCCTTGGCCTCCTTTCGGTACTGTACAAAGGTTGATCTGGTTTCTCCAATCCCTGCTGAGATCCTCATAGCTACTCAGAGCTTGAAATGAAAAAAAAAAAAAAAGCGGGGGCTGGAGGGGTGGGGGTGAGTGGCAGGCAATAGTGTTGAAACTGGTAGCTTCAAACATCCTGGTTTGAAGGAAGCTCGGATAAATGGTCTAGAAGCACTGAGGTACGGAAGGGATTTGCTATTGGTGAGAATGACCTGGTGGTGTTCGGAAGATCATGCAGTACTGAGGACTGAGTCCAGGCTTCCCTCACACAAAGCATGCATCCTAGCCCTTTGAGTTACCTCCCTGGCTTGAGATTAATCTTTGACATCTGGTTATCTGGATGATTAATTTGCATGTCCTTGGACCATATGTGATCCATAAGACTGGCATTTGAATAAGACAAGATAATCATGTCCAAACAACAAAGGGCTAATGAAAACCGCATTTGTCAATGACTCACGTTGTCAGTGGCACAACAACTCAATTATACTGCCATATTGTTTGTCATCTGTGTGTTGCGTGAGTGTATGCCTTTATAGCTGGGAAGCCTTTGTGAGCGGCTCTGTAAAGCAGCTAGCCTTTTCTCACTACTGAAAAACAGCAACTGTCTATCCACAAGGCTCTCCTGAGTAGTTATACTTCATTTTTGTTTTAGCAAACCATTACTATTTCCCTCTGATAGGCAATACAGCACCGTGGTTAAGCGAACGGGTCATCGGCTTGCCTGATTGCAAATCCTTACCAATTTTGCTCACTGACTGGCAAATCACTCTTCTTCTCCGTCTCTCTCCTTTCTCATCATCATGTGCAGCTATAACAGCATCTACTTTGTGGAGTTGTTTTTGCAGAATTCAATGCGCCAATATTTTAAAATTTTTCAGGGCAGGATAGGAGAGATTATTTTGGCAGGCAGAGTGTTTGCCTTGCATGCAATCAACCCAGGT